TACTCTTTCTCTCTCTCTCTCACTCTATCTATCTATCTATCTATATCTATCTATCTCTATCTATCTATATCTATCTATATCTAACCATCTATCTATCTATCTATCTATCTCCCTTAATTAATTGAAAAAATTATAAGTAAGTGCAAGATGTTTACATATTATGTTTATGTATTTGTTTACATAATCCCAGAGCAAGAAAATTAACCTTTTCTACAATTGATCATTGAGTACTGCGAAAAAATTGTTTATCATAAATGCATGCATGTTGAGTCATATAAATATTGGTTATTGTTCGTACATTTCAGTTTTTTTATATGTATGATCATTTTTTTAATATCTAAGGCAATTTCATTATTCAATTATATCTGAATAATCATCGTGCGTTATGCATGTTTAGCCTTATGAATTTTATTTCGTTTTAATTTATTTAATTAAGCTTTATTTTGTCTGATTCGAATGGGACAGGTTCTAAAGGTTAATGTTTTGTTACATTGTAATATTAAAAGAAAGTAGCACACCCACGGTATAAAATCATGAATATAAAATTTATTAAAAAGTAATTTGCATGTTTAAGGTGAAGGCAATGGTAGAGGAAGTCTCAAGGTTATGGAAACACGGTTTTTAAACTTAGAAAGATAATGCACTAGTCTTTTTAGTCTCCTTTGATTTTGGTTTCTACGGAGCTAGGGCCGGTACCGTCTTGTGCCTGGGGATCGTGATTCGTGAACGGACCGTTGAAATTACCGGGACCAATCGGATTCCCACAGGGACGGACATGATTAGGCGGAGATATGCCTTCTTTACCGGCCTTGTTTCTGTCGTTTTGTCCTGGATTTGTCCCTTTATGTTATCCAACATTTACTAATGTCGCAAATGTATGGAGACTAGGTGGAGTGATAAAGAAAAAAAATCAGATGAAAGAGTTCAACAATTGGCTGAAAGAATAAAAACAAACAAAAAAAAAACGAAAAAATAGTGGGAGAAGAAAAAGAGGCAAGGATAGACACATAATAGAGGACAGTGAAAGAACCAAAGATAATGAAGTATTGTTGAACTAGAAATTGCTAGAGGCCTTGATGGAATGCTAAATGGAAAATTCAGACTACTGAAATCAAATAAAAATAGAGTAGAAGGAATAAATGGATTAGGGGGAAAAAATTACAATGGAGACGACAGAAGAAAACAAAACGACGTTAAATTGAGAAATTCAATAAATTGTTTAGTGACGCGTGAAAAATGTAAAAGATTAATAGTTTAAAAATACAGTACTTTATAAACTTTGTCTTCAACATGAAATTGAGTTCTGAAGGTTAACTGGAAGACTAAAAATGCTAAGAATGTGACGATTAAAGCTAAGATCATATGGAGAAAAATTGTCAGCTATTTGTTCAAGTGATACACAAACATTATATACATTTAGATAGTGAATAACTGTTATCATAACAAAATGAACATAAAGAAGATGGTAATAGAAAACAAATTAATAAAATATTAAGATTAAAAAGATAAATGGAACAACTGTGAGAAATGAGTGATTAATGGATGCTTCCAAAGATTTAGACACACGTGGATAAATAGGTGGATAAATACTGACGATACTTGAATAAATAGATAGATTGATAGTCAGTACATGCTTAAGAAAGCATTTTTTTAATTAGGCATACTAGTATGCCCTTTTCTACTAGTAGATGATCGGTAACTATTCTCTTAGAAAAAATTACAAATTTTTCTCTAGTTAGAAAATAATAGTGTGGTATTAGGGTTGTCTTTGTATAATAATTGGCGCCACCATTTGTGTCGTTCTTTAATATTGTAGGGGTAATTATTCCCCACCTGCTTCTTAAAAGTAATTGCTGCCGTACAAAAAATATCGTGTCATGACCGTTCATCAATGATTCAGGGTTCAATTATTACAAGAAATCTACAGTAACAGGCAAAATTTCCTGTATAATTTATATTGCATGGTTATTATAGAATATATTATTATTTATTAGAAAATTTCTCTGGATATGAACACGTGGTTTTCCTTCAGTGATAAATATCATACAGACAATATAGTAAATTTCGTGTTTTTATTTGATTAAAATTGTGTTCGGACTGTTTTGTACTACCTTAATTATTTAACAGGATAATTAATTATAAAGGTTCACAAACTTAAATAAGACATTGCAGGTAGAATAATGTTGTAAGTTGTGTGCGTGTTTTTCCCACGTTTCGCCTGTTTTCCCTCCTCGGCGTTTGTTTATCTCGGAATAATTCTCCTGCCTTTTATGCCGACCTGCATGATAATACAAGCCACAAAAAGGTGTTGAGAATTCTTCAACATTTTGTCGTTTTTATCTGACTCAGAAAACTGTGATAAGAATTGAGAAAATATTGGGTTGTCCGGAAAATAATGCAGGATTTTAAGTTTTCATTAAAAAAAATCTATATAAAATATTCTGTTTACGTTTACAGGATTACTCATTTGTATGAATGTCAACACTTATTAATCCTCTTCCAAATGATATTGTTTGTTTACCTCTGTAGCATTCCGCTACTTGGAAATAATTCAGTCATCCTTATAATGTCAAAGCGAGAATTTCGTACGATTTTCTTTTACGAGTTTAAACTCGGCCGAAGCGGAGCCCAAACGGCTAGAAACATTAACCAAGTCTGGGGCGAGGGTTGTGTTAATGAGTGCACTGTGCAAAGGTGGTTTAAAAAATTTCGGGAGGGAGATTTCAGCCTTGAAGATGAAGAAGGTCGTGGAAGGCCTTCCTCTCTTAATGATGATGTTCTGCGATCAGTGGTGGAAGAAAACCCCAAAACAACTGTTCGAGAACTTGCAGAGCAACTCAAAGTCAGTAAAACGACCGTCGCTGACCACCTCAAGGCGATTGGAAAAGTGAAAAAACTCGAAAATTGTGTTCCACACTCATTAAACGATCGCCAAAAAATCAGCGCTTTGATGTTTGTGCATCACTTCTTTGTCGAAACAAAAATGACCCATTTCTGGCCAGAATTGTTACATGTGACGAAAAGTGGATTCTCTACGATAACACTAGACGTTCTGGACAGTGGCTCGACAAAGGAGAAGCTCCAATACATTTTCCAAAGCCCCCAACTCATCAAAAAAAGGTAATGGTTACGGTATGGTGGGCTTCATTTGGTTTAATACACTACAGCTTCTTAAATCCTGGCGAAACCATCAATGCTGAATCATACTGTAACCAAATTAATACCATGCATCAGAAATTGGCAGTAATGAAGCCCTCTTTGGTCAATCGGAAAGGGCCCATTTTGTTGCATGACAACGCTCGACCACATGTGTCACGTGTAACGTCACAAAAATTATTGGAGCTTGGCTATGAAACTTTGCCTCACCCACCCTACTCTCCGGACCTCTCGCCTACTGACTACCATTTTTTTAGACACCTGGACCACTACTTACAACACATAATATTCAAAAATCAAACGGAACTGGAAAATGCATTTATTGACTTTATCAATTCTAAAAATTCTGAATTCTACTCAGACGGATGATTAAAGAACATTGCTTTAAAGTAACTAGTTTCTTTTTTTTTGTTTAATACCAAAATCCTGCATTATTTTCCGGACAACCCAATATTATTAATCCCGACTCATTAAATAACGTTGTGTGTACCACAACTCTTCGCTGACTTTCGTAAATATATAATAAATATTTTTGAATGCTTTTTCATTTCAAAAGTAATTATTTGATTAACAAATAAAAATATGGCATGCAGATAAGTTAAAAGGAAAGTCATTTGATTGTTGATGAATATTGCTTTCGATAAAGACTCAAAACCTCTAAATTCTATATAAAACAAATTTTGTATGATTTCAAACTATTATTAAGTTATTAATAAGATCCTCCATAAAGACATGTTTAAATAAACAAACTGTTTTTTGACGAACAATATAAATAAAATATATCGTTACCGGTTAAAACTGAGGATTAAATATTTATCTAAAAACATTGCGATCAATTTAAACAATTTAATTTCCACGTTCTTCTGTCAAAATAACAACGTCCAAAGGCATGTAAATTAAAAAAAATAAGATAGTTGAATAATTGGACCGACATAAACGTACGTAAAAATATTATATTTTCATGTGACTGTTTCGAATCTTCGCGTATGGTGATATTTAACCAGCCCTTGTTGATTTATGTTTCATTTAGTAATCAAAACACAACGATGTACTAACAGAATGAATTGAAACAATCAACTCGTTTTTCTCGTGGAGTTGGTCCTAATTTTTTTCCAAGTTATGTCATCTACAATTTGATATTGGTTGTTTTACCATGTCTTATCATCCCGGTATCTCATCATTTTTTTGGTCAAACTTGATGCTCAACGTACCGCAGACATCAATAAGTTTTTTTAATATTATAAAATACCGACTGGAAAATATTAAGCGGAAAGCGTCATCCACCTAGTCAACTTAGAGAACAATTGACATTTTGAGTATGTTTTTATTTACTTATTTATTCATTTTTTTGGTAAACCTAGTTAGTCAAACAATCCTATATAATTTTTAAGTTTATATAAATAACAGTGCTTGCTTCTATCAAAATGTTATTCATAATTTAACTTAAATTATTTTAAACGTTTTTTTAATGTACGAAATGCCCTGGATATGTATGTTTTTCTTTTTTCATAACAATACACTAAATAAACACCGTCAACGAACTGAAAATGCAATAAGGAAAGAGAGAAATAAAAAAAATTCTTTATAGAAAATCTATGAAATTTATAGAAAAGTACAATAACGCTACAATGAAAAAATTTTCATAACAATCTATATATAATTATACATCCACACAAGCGTTATACTTCGCGTATGTATTATATATACTCGAAAGAGGAAAACTTGCGACATTTTCATTGTGACAGAAAAACTTCAAAGTTGGCAAGGTCTTGCGATAAGGGGCGTTTGTTTGCATGGCAAGATGGTGGGACAGTATGTCTGATAAATTTATCATTATGACTTGCCTGTCAGGAGCAGCGAGACGTCGTGATCACTGGAACGGTACGAAAGCACAACTGATGTCCTACGGCCGTTCGCCGCTTACCGCTGATCGTTTACCACCGTGGAGGGGGCCGTTTGATGAAGGACGCCGCGCTTCACGGCAAAACGACCAGGTGGCGACATCATACACCTGGGTGAAAAATAATATGAAGGATTAGAGGTTTTATTTGAGCTTGTTGGGCGAAGACTGAAAAGAAAACTGTCTGTTTTTTCCTGCTTGAACCAGAAGCTCGGCTTGAAAGAGCAGCATAGCCAAGAACTATCCTCAGGGTCTTAAGAAGGAAGGTCCACTCTTCCACAGTGCATTGTTGCATTTTTGTTATATCAAGTTACCCTTTTTTATTATTTACATTTCAAATTAAACTAATGTTAATTGCATAACAAAAAGTTTAAATTTTACAATTATTACAAAAATTATCTAGGGAGATTTAGCCATAAGCACAAAAAATGTCATATTTCGTCTTTCAAAAATTTTTACTAACTAAATTATTAAAAATATATACCAATTGTTACCAAAAGTGTAAAATAATATATACAACCTTATTCTTAAATATAACTCAAATTTAATAAATATAATCATGTCACCATGACATTGAAATTATTTTACGACAAAAGGCGTCTCGTTTCGGTATAAACATATGCATATTCATCCACAAAAAAGAGGCTGTTGTAATTGCAACTCGCAATTCAAATCGTTGTTATATTTTTAGAAATAAGCATTTCGTCATGCAAGAATTTCTCTGTTTCTGGTTGGTTCACATTGACAATTTCCCAAACGTGTTACAAACACGTTGGAACATCCGTCAATCAATAAATCAATCAAATATTTACTTACAACTAAATATACTGACCTGAAGACTAAGCAGAAAGGAATTTTGATTAACGAAAAACAGAAAAATTAGCCAGAGAAGGATCTGAAAGGATAGAACTTACAATCGCTACAAAAAATCAATCATAGGATCCTCTATTTCAGAATGGGTGACAAAAACAAAAAAAGTGATCGAAATCAAGAGGTGTTAAACACAGTAAACCCATAATTAGAAAAACCATCATGGAAATAAACAAAACAACCCTCACCAAAACTAGCATACACATTGCTACAGCTAAACTGGGTAAAACACAGGGGAACGATAGGATTATTACCGGTCACTGGCACCTGTGAAACACTTACACAACATGGGTAGATTCAACTATGACCCCACATTTAAATTATGCAATGGGGAGAACCTAGAGTACCAAGATGACCCGGGAAAAATCTTAAAATCACGATTGAACAAATTGAACTGGTCTAAGAAAAAGGAAAGTACAATACAATAAGGCAGAAAGTTTCAGTGCTTGGGGTATATTTCCTATTAAGATTGACAACTCTAATTTTTCGTTGACCCTTACATTTTGTTCCTGCATCGCCATTGAGTTGATCTTTTCTCGATAATTCAATATATATATATATATCATTTTAATTACAGGTTTATCTCTATCACAATCTTTTGGTATAAACAGTTATCCATGCATCAATCAATAAATGTAATTGCTACCTAATATGATCATCATTACTCAGTCCAACCGTTTTGTCTGAACTTATATAGCAATCAATTAATTTATCTCATATCTCTCTCTACCCACCCTCTCTCTCTCTCTCTCTCTCTCTCTCTCTCTCTCTCTCTCTCTTTCTTTCTTTCTTTCTCTCTATTATCAATTTATCTTTATATCTAGCTATATATCTATCTTTCTTCATTCTATCTATTTGCCTTTCTTTTTTCTACCTATCTGTCTTCCTTTCTTTTTTATTTCTCTCTATCTATCTAGATGCCAATTTTAATACATTTTACGTTAATAAGTGGAAAACATGATTACCGGAACTGTCAATTTATATAATATAGTATTGCCTAGATATTATTTGGTTGATTGATCCTCAATGCAAGCATTTTTGCTAAGCTATATGATTAATTCCCTAATGATTGTACGTTTTTACTTACGAGAAATCTGTTTTTATTGCTAATCTCTAATGTGAAATGAAAAAAGTTTTAACCTTTTTTCAAATACTTATGTATATTTATTTATTTTTTGTAGGAGGGTTCACATCAGCAGAGGTCATATCAACCGTCAGGGTGTCGGTGTTTTTGAAAAAAAGGCCATTTGTAAGTATGTCGGGTTCGAAAGCTGGATTCGAACCTGAGACCTTCACCTTACAGAAATGAGCGCCGTGTCAACGCCTAAACCGTTGCGGGCGACCGACGCCCAATACTTATGTATAAGTTCCGAAGCACAACTGGGAAGGAGGCAAAAGAGTACTTGGGAAAAAGGACAAGGGCATCATGGCAAGAAAGATGGACAAATAGCAATAAAGGTCGGATGACATCCAAATTTTTCCCAAGCGTTGAAAAAAGACAAAAAGCAAAATGGCTACACCCCGACTACTGGACCACCCAAATGCTATCAGGACATGGAAACTTCGCAAGCTATCTTCATAAATACAAGACAAGAGAAAGCCCTTTATGCTCCGTTTGCAGCACTGAAGAAGACGCCGAACATAAACTCTTCAGCTGTATTAAATTCAATGCAGAAAGAGAACGTTTGCGAAAGACCATCACCTCAGCAGAATGGCCGCCTAATNCAATGCAAGCATTTTTGCTGATTAATGATGATTAATTCCCTAATGATTGTACGTTTTTACTTACGAGAAATCTGTTTTTATTGCTAATCTCTAATATGAAATTGGTTTGTCCTAATGCGCATAGATGGTCAAGAATGTCTTCTTCCTCTGGCATGAGTTCGTGTAAAATTACTTACAAAATTACTAAACTTCAACTTTTCGCCCTCCTGAACTAAATGATCAAACTTTCAGTATTCATATATCATCAACAAAAATTTTAAACATAGTAAAAAAAATTTCTCCTTTACAAATGTCAGTTCAATCCGATATTAATTTATATTGGTTGCTCCTGGATTTCAGTAATGATCGCACATTCCTCTGATATATTGGGGATTATTTTCTATTCATTTGCTTAAATTAATTATTTCATTATGTGGCTCGTTGGTTGTCTTCCTTATCGTCCATTTACCGTCTAAAAACACCCTTTCTACTCTGGACCAGCTCATTTACATCTTTTTAATCGCATATTGCTGAAGCTTGTCGTGTTAAGCGGCATCTGCAAAATTGGCCTCTAATTTGTTCCATCTCTCTAACGGAATGATTGGAAGCGATTAACAATGCAGGGAAAGTTTGTATAATTAAATGTAATTATTAGCAAGAGCTTAAAATATGACATAAAAAATAGTATCATACATTAAAAAAACTAGGAAAATCTAACAATATTCATATTTAGTGGGAAAAATATAATATAATGTAAAAAGACACGCAAATGGCTGAAAAGTGATCGGAATATTGCTTGTGGATTTTTTGAAATTAAGTACAAGTATCGTTGTTTTCTGAATGAAAAGATTTGTCCGATGAAAAGAGGAACTTCGTGTATGAACGTTTCGTCCTGTTTCATTTAAATAATAAACATCGCGTGAATATGCTCATAAAATTTAAATAAATCACCTTTAAAAAAAAAATTTTACAATACTAAAAGCAATATTTCTACTCTTCTTGTTGACAAAAAGTGAACAAAATAAAAATACATGAATAGCAATCAATGGACAAAAATCAGAGGATTGGACCTAATTAACAATTCCAGGCGGTACTTTTTTTAACACAAGCTGCAGCTTCGTAGTTGTAAACGTGAAATATTCAAATTTATGACTTTATTATTTTAATATGTCAAATTTTGAACATTTGAACATTTCTGCAAAACAATGAGACATCTCCAGATTAAGCATTGAAATAAGATTTTATTATTTCAAAACATTCAATAATAAATTTAAATTTATCAGTAGAAATGATTGTCTATTCTGAAAACCTTGTTTTTTAGGTTTAGTACCTCATTTTAACCTTTTTTCAAATACTTATGTATATTTATTTACTTTTTGTAGGAGGGTTCGCAACAGGTCATATCAACCGTCAGGGTGCCGGTGTTTTTGAAAAAAAAAGCCCAGTTGTAAGTATGTCGGGTTCGATAGCAGGACCGCTGGATTCGAACCTAAGACCTTAACCTTACAGAGATGAACGCCGTGTCAACGCCTAAACCGTTGCGGGCCACCGACGCCCAATATGAGTTATCCTTTTAATGTCTTATCCTCTATCCTACAGGGTGCTTCCAGAACAGACATCAATACTTCAGAAGGATATTCTGCATGTCAAATGGAACTAAAAAGTCCCTACGGTTCATAGTTTAATTAACAATTGTATTCATTTTCGTGTTACTTCAACCTTTTACAACCTTTTCCCCTAAAGCTCCGTATCCCTTAAGATATTTATCCTTACAAATCATGTAAGATTCAATTATTTCTGTATTGTAACTTAAAGTGAAGAAACTACAAAATTAGTTAGAACATAAACTTGTACGAAATTCCAGGTTCATGACAAGGTTTAAGCAACAATCATATTTTTATAACACAATAATTTTTAGAAGCTCGTTGTTTTTTCTTATGTTCAATTCAGTACCAAAGAGTGTTGTTTACTTTAATGATCGGTTAATGACTATTTTTTAACCATCAGTAACAGATAAATCAAATTGGCAGCAATTAAACGTTAATTTTACATTTGTGATAACTGACTTTTGAGAAATTACGTACATGCTAAGCTCATTAGAAGGGGCAACTTTTCTGTAAGCGGAATATTTGCCAGTATTTATTGAGTCAATAAAATCTTACATAACTTTAAACATGAACTTAGGAAAATCTTAAAAGTTTACGTTCTAATTGATTTTGTGCTTTGTTGCTTAAGGTCACTTTAAAAAATTAATTAATCTTGTAACATTTTTAATGCTCCTTCTATTGATCTAATCAAATCTACAATAGGTTTAAGATTTTATGAGATTCGTGGGTTTTAGGGAAAAATGATTAAGTAACACGAAAAGTGAAATATGTGGAATACAGTTCAGAATCAGACTACAGAAAATAACGACTTTTTAGTCCCATTTGACACGTAGAATTACCATCAGAATTATAGACGTCTGTTCACGGGATACCCTGTATTCATTATATTCACTTATAAATTGTTTTCCCTATAGAAAAATTTATTTTTTATTGATTTCATTGCTTATCAATAGAAAGCCTGCTCAGATTTCAGATTTCACTTTTATCTGCTAACAAAAATTTTCTCCTTAGCCTTAAAACGTCTATTTCAATGTGTGGTGGTTAGTGACCGTTAATCGATAATTATTCAGAAATCGTGATATGCGGTCTGGAGTGATGGAGGTTTCAGAAAAACATCTTCTTTATCTTGCCAACGTTTCGATCTTTATTGAGATCATTTTCAGGGCCTGAGATTTACAAACATTGTTTACATTTAACAAATACATGTAGGATGTGGAAAAAAGTGAATTTATACAATGCAAAATATATTTTTTTATATTCAATCGAAGTATTTCTACTCACTCAAAGTGTTTGTCTTCTGTGTAATTGTGCCATTCACCTTCAAAATCCAATTCACCTTCCCCACCCCTTCAAAATCCAACATATATAAACACAAAACAGCAATATCTCACGGCACTCTCAACACAACACGACACGCAAGAATGGCACAATTACACAGAAGACAAACACTTGAGTGAGTAGAAATACTTTGATTAAATATAAAAAAATATATTTTGCATTATATAAATTCACTTTTTTCCACATCCTACATGTATTTGTTAAATTTAAACAATGTTTGTAAATTCCAGGCCCTGAAGATGATCTTAATAAAGAGCGAAACGTTGGCACGATAAAGAAAATGTTTTTCTGAAACCTACATCACACCAGAACGCATCTCACGATTTCTGAATAATTGTCTATTTCAATCCTATATCCATCGGTTTCTTGTGAGGTTAAATACAAATATATTCTTTATAGATTTTGCAGTCGAGAGAAGGGTGGTTAAAGTATAATTGTACTTTCGTAGAGAAACCTATTGGCAAGACAATAAAAATAAGATACATTGAACAAAATCAATTCAAACTAAAAAAAATCCTTTTTTTCTTGTTTACATCCTTTTCCACCATTCAACCTGACATCCTGTGGATGTACCGTATAAATCTTTTATGATAAGGTTCTTGTATTAAGGGGAGGTGTGAGTCCTATATTTTGAAGGTTTAAAAAACCACAAAGCAGTTTTTGTAAGACTTCTTGCAATTACGTACAAACACACCCCACTCTGTAATTATGCTTGAGACAGAGAGAACGCCACACAGGTCTTAACATTTAAAATAATTAATATTTATGAAAGGTATTGGTTGAGATAAAAAAGTCAAAAAGGAGGGAAAATTCGAGAAGTGATTTTGAGATGGGAAGTTAATGTCCGAGCGGATCCAAGTCACGATAGCTCAAGTGGTAGAATAGCGGCGTATTTAGCCGAAGATCATGGCTTCGAATCCCGCTCGTGACGCTGACTTTTTTATCTCAACCAATACCTTTCATAAATATTAATTAATTGAAAAATGTTAATTGGTCAATCGGACCACGAACTGTAATGGATTTAATTTCAAATAATCCTTAAGTAGAGGATGAATTTTCTTTCCTTGGGACCAATAAGTATCAAAAATTAAGATTTAAAATTTCATAAGAAAATGTCAGACGATAGTGTTTGTGAAAACACAAAAATGTTCTGATAAACTCAATGAAAAATTATTTCATTAAGCAAAGACGAGAATTTTTTATTAAACTCTTGTTTCATTGCGTATATCAGAGACTACATGAAATCAACTTTAAACTTTAATCTCAATCGTATCATAATCTCAACGTTTCTTTTGAAATGATAAAAGTTGTAGGTCAACTCACATTGGTAAATACTAAGTTTTCTAAGATTTACCTAACAAGCTCATCCTCTAATATTGAACTTTCTATTGTCAAATCTGTAAAGAAATTTTGCTATCAAATTAAGTTAATATTTTTGATAAAGTCCGACAAGAAACAATGAGTAATAAGTACTGGTCCATTAAACGGTCTGATTAGCAACTATTACAAGGAAGTTCTATTCAACCAGACGTTTTGAAACAAGGCACAAGTACTATTAACCCGGAACTTATTAGATTCATTGAACCGTTCATTTAACGATTCAGTAACAAACTAAAAGTTTAAGAACAATTAAGTTTGATTGTTATTCGCACAATCAAAACGCACTAAAAATTGAGAAATGTTGAAGATCAAGACTCACCGTTTTTTTTAATCAAACGTGTTGAATACAGTCGTATCCTTTGTAGACGGCCTACCGCAACATATTGCCTGGGAGGAAAAGCAGTACAACCCTAACCTCAATAAGCATTAGATTGCTGTTTTCAACGTAGATCCCGATTATGATCAATTCACTAACTTATTATTGAAAGGTCGGTGTTATACAACTGTGAACCGGGTTGAAATACCGTAGTGGCAATGTGTTGTAAACCTTTTTGCAAGGGTGCTTTACCCAGTGCCCCACTTTCGACCCGGACCGCCCTCCATTTCAAGGGCGCCGCACCCTTACCCACCCCAACCACTCTTTCATAATCAGATACACTTTTGCAATACGCAATGCCTATTTTTTCTTCTTTTTTTAAAATAAAGTAAAAGGTATTTTAAACACAAAAACATAATAACAACTATCCATTGAGTGGTCATGCTAGAGTTGCATCAAAAACTCAATTTATTATTTCAATAAAGATTTAAAATTAATCTGTGCATGGTTATTCTTATATCTCTTAAAATATTGATTTTTCATATTTATATCTTTTTCATATGTTTGGGAAGATTGCATTATTTAACCGATCACAATGACTTCTTTTTATCAATTTCACCCACTTTTGTAATTCATTTTGTATAACAAATGTATATTATTATATTATTTTGTATATAATTTATATCTCCTTAGTAATATTAATACAAATTATATGATCAATTATAAATAATGTTAATATTATTTCTTTTACACTGTGAAATTTTTATATTATAATTGATAAATTTAACTAAATGCTTTATCACGATTTTATTTAATTTTATAATTATTTATGTAGTATAGAGATATATGTTATTATTGATAAACAAGTCGTTAATCCTTTATTATATTGTCCGCCTTGGTTTTTTACTATATTTAAGCATATTTTCAGATGATAATAAAAATTATAATAATAAAGTTAAAATTTCTGAGATTACAAATAAACAAAACGTGATTCATTCCTGCTTCACTCTTTCAAACAAAACGTGATTCATTCCTGCTTCACTCTTTCACTCTCTCTCTCTCTCTCTCTCTCTCTCTCTCTCTCTCTCTCTCTCTCTCTCTCTATCTATCTATCTCTATTTCTATCTATCAATCTATCTATCTACCTACTGTCTATCTATCTATCTATCTCTACCTATCTCTATCACTGTTTATCTATCTCTATATCTATCTATTTATCTATCTTCTATCTATCTACTATCTATCGATCTATGTATCTATCTATCTATATATCTATCTTCTATCTATCTATATATCTATCTACCTATCTATCCATCTATCTGTCTGTCTATCTATCTATATATATCTCTATCTATCAATCTATCTATATCTATCTATCTACCTATCTATATATCTCTATCTCTATTTATCAATCTATCTTTATATATCTATCTTTCTACCTATCTATCTACTACCTATCTATCTATCTACTATCTATCTATCTATCTATCTACCTATCTATCTATCCATTTATCTCTATGTATCTATCTACCTTTCTATCTATCTATCTCTACCTATCTCTATCACTACCTATCTATCTATCTCTACCTAACTCTATCACTACCTATCTATCTATCTATCTATCTCTACCTATTTCTATCACTACCTATCTACCTATCAATCTATCTCTACCTATTTCTATCACTACCTATCTATCTCTATCTTTCTCTGTTGTTTCTATCTATTTATCTATCGATCTATCTATCTATATCTATATATCTATCTCTATCTATCTATCTATCTCTATGTATCTATCTCTATCTATCTACCTATATATGTACTATCGATCTATCTATCTACCTATCTATCTACTATCTATCTGTCTATGTATCTATCTACTATCTATCTTTCTGTCTGTCTGTCAATCTATCTACCTCGGACAGTCTCTTCATTTTTATTGTCTTTCTCCAACTCTAGTTGTCAATCTTTATATCTATCTATCCTTTAAAAATCTACCCATTTATAAAAATTTTATTCAGATTAAAAATATTTAAAACTGTATTAATTTATTTGAGATTGTATATAATCACAGCCATTAACTATGGATTTTAAGATTAAAATTAATTATTTATATTAATATATTATTAAATTAATTACAAATCAATTGATAATTATTTACTGTAGTTAATGCTACTGTTACTTCCCTAAAATCCAGATCTTTTCATATTTTTTGGTTTACAAGCTTTATTGGATTATGATTAAAAATGTAAATCTAATGGAGGAAGATTTGGGTTTTTCAGATTTTTCTATTGATAAATAAATTGCACGACAAAATGTTTCAATTTGAGGTTTTATTTGGTTGTAATCTTGAACATGGTGATGAAAGCCAAAGCTGCACTTGTCACCCCGAAGGCGTAAAGAAATTTTTCAAGTGACTAAGGGGAAAAAATAACAAAAATCATACAGTGAGTGAAACTTGATGTTAAAAAAAAAAAAATTACCATGTCTTGCCATTTTTTATTCTTTATGCAATTGAGGTAATCCATATTCGAGAATGTGACTGACTGGTAAAGAGGGATCCATAGAGACGGGACGATCCTGTAAAGGCAGTTGTCGAAGAATTTCCTTACTATGAAAGAAGTCGTGTTTACTAGGTGCCTCATCTTTAAACAAACACAAAATAATCAATCGTACGATCTTTCCTTTCAAAATAAACTTCGTTCACCTCGATATAGTTATACATCGCTAGGTCGCAAATCGCTTCGGCGTTTGGATTTCTGCTTTTTGAATATTCTTCCAAACCCTCCCTGATTGTCAGACCTCGGTTGTGTAGAAAATCGTCGAGCAAACGGCAATCTTCAAAACCCTAAAAAATAATGAACAGCAGCGTCAAGCACTATTTTTATACAAGTAATAGTTACAAAGACATAAAAAATCTAGTAGAATTAAAATAAATAAACCGTTTGGCTGGCTACACACAAAAATAGTTTATAAACCAATAAAAAATGCATAGTGACGATTTTTTCCATATTTGAAGGGATCTTTCTTAAACTATTTACAGCTTAATAACGTTTGTAAATTATAATGTACAGTATCTCTTTCTTTTTTAAGAGTTATGTTAACAGAGTCCGCATTTCTGTTTGCACATAATTCCAAAAATTATATGGATTTCATTGAAATTGTTAGTTACAATGTTTCCATTGTTTCAGTCAGATAAGAACAATAACCCTTTGGGCACAATTATCTTCCAATACTGACTTGCACAAGAATTGACAGTAAATATTAGTTAGTAATTAGTAATAATTGATTACGGCGTTCATTCCTTGGCCGTAGAACGGTACCATCGCATGGGCCGCGTCTCCAACAAGGACCACGTGGTCTTTGTAATTGTATTTGGAAACCTGAACAGAAAGAAAACCAAAATAAATTAGTATGTAACAAGAATGTTTATGAAATTTATGCAATAGTGCACCTTGATTGAAATCAAGAACGAAGGCTTGGTAGAGAAGTAAGTGTCGATCAGGGATTTTTCACCTATGAGATCTATAGCGTCTGGGAACTTGTCCCGGAAGAATCTAAGAAGTTTGTCCTTCTTGTCCAACATGGAAAATTGAGTGTGAGGCATGAACAGAGTGACGGTCCAGCTGTCGTCTTGATTCGGCAGGGCGATCATCATAAACTCGTCCCTCGGCCATATATGTAAATGATTCCCTTGCATCTGAAAAAGATTTTTTTTACATAATTATAATTTAATTAAAATTTCAAATATCTGTGATTAATGTAATTACAGCTGAAACTGAATGAGTTCCATTTTTCCCAAAGGTCTGCTTTGCAAAACGGTTAAAAATACAAGACTCTGCCATAATGAAGGTTTGTTTCGTTTTTCATCAATCATTAGCATAGGCAATATCCTTAACACCCTAGAGTTAAAAACCAATATGTGCTATGTTTTTAAAAATATAATTTAACAGAATAATACCAATATTCTAGCCTAGGATCAACACACAGTATAGCCATGATTTCCTTCCATAATTTGTGCAAGTGACTATAAACTTTCTTAGTCTATGGAGTTACAGCCTTTAGAGGACCTTGGCCTCCAAACATTTTTTTCTATTGTGCCGCGTTTCTCCCTCCACTGACGTGCATTTAACTTCTGTAGGTCGTTCTTGTACTCGCATCGGCCTCGGGTCGGCATGGGGCGGCGAGTGCCTTATCAGAGGCACATGTAGGTTAGGGTACCAGATCCTGTCTGCATAGACGGGGGAGGGTGCAAAACCATCTGTACTACGGGTAACAGAAATGTTCCAAGGTTCAGCCCCTGTTACAATGGGAATGGACTCGTAGTTGGCCGTGGTGAGACCCGTGGCGGGTACTTAGAGAAGAGACTGTCTTCTATCTGTGACCTTCGGACGAAACTTGCGCATGACCATCGTTATACACCTGGCCTCACGGGATACGGCGGATCAGACGTATAAGCGTTGAGAACATTATGCTGAAAAGTCCCTCGAATGCGTGATTAGTGGCGGATGGGAACAGGTATTGAATCGCTCCTACTCGAGTATGCTTTGCACGTAGGTGTAGGCTGAGCTCGATTGGAGGCTTTTACCGTGGGCGGTCTCCTCTAGGGGGTGGTTAGTAATTCCACTTTAAACAAAACCTCGGTCGGAGCGAATCCGGTAGTTTCTACGCTAGAGAACCCCCAATCTGGGAGATAGAGTGGCCTTCTCTATCTAGGGAGTGCATGGGAGACCAGGTTGATGTATTTCGGTTTAGGTAGCCCTTTACGTTTCGATGCTTAATGCGTACCCGACCACTTGGAATGGGCAAGCGGAGAGCGAGGTTATCTTGGCCTCTCGGGGCACTGCGGCAGTAACACCCTTCTGTCGTATGCGGAGGTGCGTCAGCTCATCTTGCGAATCAAAACGTCCGATAAGGCCGAATAGGCTAGGTGCGGACGTTAAAGATCCTCATTGTCCTTTTTAGGACGACCGAGTATACGGGAAGCAATGTAAGTCGTTCTACACCACTGCAACCTCTAGGTCTCTTACTTCGAGGTTGCCCTTCCCACACTGCTGTGTTGCAGTTCTGTCGCCTTCCGTACCATACAGGTGGCCCAACCAACGAAGTCTGCCCTATTTTATAGTTGTTACTAAATCTTATTAGCCCCTCGCTCTCCCAGAGGTTTACTCTTTTTTCTTCCGCTACAGTAAGTATGCACATATCCGATCCATATGTAATTATTGGCCCCAGAATCATCCTATAAATGGTGATTTTAGGTGTTCGGGTCAGAATTTTATTTCGAAACGTCTTCCATAATACACCTAAGTTTCTATTTCCTCCTGCTAACCTACTGTTTATATCGCGCAACACTTCATTTTTTGAGGACAGGATCCAAGAAGATACTTAAAAACATTCTTACGTTCGGGCCGGTGTGTTATTCACCTTTCATTCCTTAAATATTATAGTTCGCCTCTCTAAATCACCCTGTACTTAGTTTTTTCTTTACAGTTTTTAGGTAAAATGGCGCCACTCCAGCTGTATGAAGGCTTCTTTCATCCCAGTGGCGGATCGAGCCAAATGGCTACATCATCGACATAGCCAAGTACTCTGTCATTCTGGTGCAAATACTTTCTCCCGGGGTCACACATCTATTCCCCATTGCTAACTCATACTAAATTGAAAAGGATTGGAGAATAAAGATCTCTTTGTCTTAAGCCAATTTAGTTGATTGGAAACTCCAAAGGGCGTCCTACTGAACAATTATTTTGACCACTGTACACATATCTTAACCAATCTGATCATCTTTGCACTGATCCTAATCAGCTCCCTCAATGAGCCCTAACCACACTTCTGTGTCATATGCCATCTTGAAGTCAATGCAAAGATGGTGTAGGTCCAAGTCATTTTCATAATATTTGTCCAGAACGGATAGATAGAAGAGAAGGATCTGCAAGGCTGCATAGGACCAGAACCTACACTTAGGATAAGTAGATAAAACATCTCCTCCATTTCAGAATGGGTGAATTGCTACAGTTAAAATGGTAAAGCGGTAGGACTACCTGTCACTGGCACCTATGAAACACCTACACAACTTTGGAATAGTCAATGATGATCCCAGTTGTAGGTTATTTATTGATAACATCTATGTTGTGGTCTATTGACCAAATTACGTCTTTCAATTACGTAATCTTTTTTATGTAAGTTCACTAATTTCGTGGTCCGCTTGACCAATTAATATATTACAATTAATCAAGGTTTTTAGTTGAGATAAAACAGTCAATGACACGAGCGGGATTCGAACCCACGATCCTCGGCTTGATACGCCGCTTCTCTACCACTTGAACTATCGTGACCTCGATCCACTCGGACATTTTTATGTAAGGTTTTGGTTGAAATGAAAAATTAGCGTCACGAGCGGGATTCGAACCCACGACCTTCGGCTAGATACGCCGCTGCTCTAACCACTTGAGCTAGCTTCGATCCACTAGGGCACCAACTCCCCATCCCTCTCGTGACGCTAACTTTTTCATTTCAATCAAAACCTTACAAAAAAGGTTAAGTTATCAATTACGTAAAAAAACTTCGTGTTATCGTCGAATGTACGATATGAAGAAGACCTAGAGAGTGAATTGCAGTGATGACAGTCAAAGGCTAAATTTTCTTAAGAGAAGATCCTAGTCAATTTTTAGGAGTATAGGACAACAGGATAGAGGACAAATTTTTGATACAAAATGGATCTGTTTGATCTCATTGTTGTAATTTTATTTTGTTATTTCATTACGCTTGTAACCATTGGTATAATTAACAAATAAATTAACAGTGAACGAGATCAAACACCCATACATTCTATGTCAAAAATACAAATTGCCCCCGGTTACCCTACACAGCCAGTACACCTCCAAGATGTTTTAAATTTACCATAATAATGTCGTCTTATTAATATTATTCTTGGCATTATTTACCATAGAGTTTAATATTGTATGTATAAATTCATTAGATTTCATGGTCCGATTGAACCAATAATTTCTTTCAATTAATTAATCTCTATGTAAGGTATTGCTTGAGATAAAAAAGCTAGTGCCACGAGTGGGATTCGAACCCACGACCTTCGGCTAAATACTTGCTGCTCTACCACTTGAGCTATCGTGACTTCGATTGTATATATATTTTCACATATTCTAACATGTAAATTTTAAATAATAGTTTCAAATAACAAACAGTTTCATGGAACTGAATGTTTTCTTTCAAATTGGACCTATCCTTGTTTCCTAATAAAATTATAATGTTGAAGGCTGCTAATAATTATATCGGAGATCAGTCAATTTTTTTACCCCTCCGCAACTTTGGTTGGATTATCTAGTACATTTTTAGTATGTTCTAAGCTATTTTTTGAAGATGAAAAATTCCCATACGATATGAATACAATGCAACTGAAGCAACTTCCCAGTGTTGCCTGATGATAGCCATTACTTAAGATTTTTTTTTCAAAACTGATTGTTTCATGACGGGTGTTTCATAACAAAATTTCGTGCTTGGTTTATTATATCTTGTTTACTCATTAGACATTCAACCCTAGAAATTGTTCAAATATTTGTTATTTATTTATCGTATCGACTAGATAACAACAAAGCCCGGTGGAAAAAAATTACTCTCAAACAATTCCTTTTGTTGAAACGCATTTACGCATCTTAAGAAAAACATACAGACGAACACAAACCAGACCATCATCCGAGAACATCCTCTGGGTTTTGGATGTATTTTCTCAGCATGTTTTTTGATGTATTTGGTTACAAACAAATTCACTTTATAAAATGTTTTAAAACCAACTCAACTTGGAAACAGGGAGGTGGGATTAACCTGGATTTCCTCTTCTGACAAGTGGCCCAAGTTAACGTCGGAAACTCCACCCATCCTGCAAGTCAAGAACCTCTGCTTGAATTAGAACGAATTAAATCTTCTGAATTATCGATTCTTGAAAATAGTCATTTCAAATTCCAAAAGGTTGATATTTTGGGCCAAGTAGTTTCCAAAAAACGAAAGTAAAAGTTTATCGCCGTCACTGTTCATATCAGTTGTATTGTTCGAATAAAACGGTATAATTCGCGGTTACTACAGACTCTGATAAAGATTATCTTCACCCGAGCGTGATTAATTAAAGCGTAACGTAATATCAAGTAATAGTTTCATCGTACCATCACCTCATGTGTAATCTCAGTTTTAAACTGGCCCAGCGTGAAAACCGGGCAAAATCCTGACACTGCGTTAAAAAGGTACGTCTTCATGCCATTTAATGATAATCGGAATAGTTTTGGCTTTCGTTAAAATTTTGAATTTTGAAAATGTCCTTGATAAGCTTACTTTGTGGTTGTTCTCCGGAGGAATGGCCAATTCCAAGTAGCCGTGTTCGATGTACGTTTGGCTGAAGTTGATCCGCGATCTTTTCAACAATTCGGACCTCACTGCAGAAAAAGCACCGTCCGCACCGATGATTAAATCAGCTCTGACTTCTTCAATTTTCCCTTGGGCACTAGAAACAACGTGATAAAATCCAAATTATAATTTAAGGACTAAAATTAACTTACAAATTTGACTATGTTGTGAAAAAAAAATAGTAGATGAGGTGTTAGTCTGTTAACAACCTACGGCAAAATTTAAGATTTTTTTTATCAAGTCAAAAATAGTACATTTTATGTTGTAATAAACCATTCAAAAAAACAAGTACCGAGAGAAGTTTCCGTTCGCATAAAAGTAAAAATCCTTTTTTATTTATTTTAAGGTAATGTTTTGTTAGAGTGGATAGTTGAAGCACTGTCTAAGCGGAATTGTAAGCATTCAGAATGTTCTTCTAAATTATCCTTTACTCTTACACCCAGAAAAGTACATTATAGTAATGATTAATATGAGTTACGTTTATGTACCTTTACTGTCTCCATCTTTTAGAGGCAAAATCCTTCGTAAAGCAGATCCTTCCACGTTAAATCCTGCATGCCCTTTCTTTCTTGTAGATTCTTATTTGTACTCGTTTCTTTTGATAAAATTTGGGTAATTCAGCACCAAAAATATACTTAAGCTATTAGTATCGCTACATTCTTGTCTTTGACGTGCCTTTTATAGCTCATATCTTCTGTTAACGTCTAATAATATTTTGGAAACTTATTTGTGGGAAATTCTTCTGTTTTCTCGGAAGCTCATAGTATGATCATATATGATAAATTAGGTCCAGTATTAGATTATTTATTCTGAATCAGTCAGTTTAAATGAATAACGTTCGAATAGTCTTTCAAAATTTTCAATGGGACATATGTGCTTGATGTCTTATATAAGTTATAATCTGTTTCTGATTCTCTTTCCTTCGGAAAGTTTGTCCTTTTTCCTTTAATTACTATCGGTTCCTTCATGTTCTGGAATGCGCTAATAAAAATTAAATGCAAAAATGACAGATCCTTAATGAGAGAATAACTGATAGAGTGGTGCCACAAGATGGCATGATCAAGATTTCAATAAAACCTACATACCAATCAGATGGATGGAACGGATGGATATAGAACAAAAAGCACAGGACATAGACATTTGGTCATTCTTCAAGTCGAGATTCATTCAATTGAAAGATGTACTTAATCCAATCGGACACAGATTGCAGAAACCCAACAGAGCACTGACCTCAAGTATCACGGAAGGTGGTGCTGAATCGCAAGATCAAATCAAATAGGTTAGTTATGCAAAACGTCCTCTCTCTAATGGGTTCCAGGTCATACAAGAATAAATATATTTGCATGAAGAAGGGTGTAGTGGCCACTTGTAGTTACCACGTTACCGCTAGATGCCACTACCAATTATGGAATGTTCTCGCCCTCCACTCTGCAGCCAATTGCCAGTGCCCTTCCAAATATAATCAGGTGCACTGCTCCACTGAAAGCAGACGTCCTGACTCGTCGACACGACGAGGTCTCACTCATCACTAATGGATAAAGACTGCAGATTCGTCAACCCGACGAGGTCTCACCCATCACTAATCAACGACGCCAGCAGACTCGTCAACCGACGAGCTCTCGTCACAAATCACTAATGGAACACCGTCGACGACAGCAAGGGTACTCGCCGCATTAGCCTGATTCTCGCCTCCTAAACACAGCCGATTTGGCTATAAACGCCAACTGCTGCCCTTCGGCTAATACCTGCACTCGAGTCTCTTCGGCCACTGTGGAATCAACCGACCCACTGCCCCGGACCTCAGCCAACGGTTCACTCGGTCACAGACCATCACCAACGGCACCACGCACACAATCTCGGCCTCAATCCATCGTCTCGACGCTACAAAACAACACCGGTCCTTTTCAGGACCACAAAACTCCCAAGCACTAAAAAGGGCTACCCATATGTGTTAAGGATCCGTACTATGCCATTGAGGAAACATTGGGACAATCTCACTAAACAGAATCATACTATAAATCTCCTTGATGACAGTGAAATACTATGAAGCGGGGACTTCGCAAGCACTTCAGCCATCTGCCTTATTGTATAATTGTAGTTCCTTAGTTCAGTTCAATTGTATCAATCCTTTTTTAAGAGGTAAAAGGTCATTGACACTGGCATTTCTTTTTCCTGAGTCGTCTTGGTACCCTTTGAGAAGTTGCTTTACATTCGAAAATATGCGTGCAGTTTTTCTTCTTCATTGCATAACCTACAAATGGGGGTCATCATTGGGTAGGTGTTTTTTCCAGATGCCAGTGCTTGCAATAGTCCTATCATTTTCCTGACTTGTGCTTCGTCTAACCGTAGCAATTTGTTTGTCATTTTGATGAGGGTTCTTTAATTATGTCTAGCATTTTTGTATTTTGCCTACTTCTCCTTTGGTTTTGTGACCCTTTCTGTGTTTGATTGTTTTATCTGGTGGGTTCTGAGCCTTTATATGGTATTACAGAGCATTCTCAGCCCGGTTTGTCTGATTTTTCATTACCCAGAATCTTCTTACTTGATGTGAAAGGATAAAGAAACTAAAGAATGGAGCAAATGAGACTCCGGATCTTAACACGTTTCTTCATGGGTAATACGGCAGATTAAATGGGACGCTACAAAACATATCATGAACCAACACTATCGGATTCCGGTGCTAAACTTCTCAAGGATATGTTTTGGGGACTTACGTCGCCCTATAGAAATACTTCTATTACAAACGGGACAAATAATACCGATGTACACTAAGTTCAACAATAGTACAAAGCGCATTCTCAGTGTTTTCAATAAATCAATTAATATTTCAAAACCTGAATTTGTTTATTTTTGGCCTGCGGATGTTAGTGCTTTCTTCCACTAGTGCTTTGATTACCTAAATTGGTAGTTATTTTTTGTTAGTACTCATACTTCAAGGTTATACAGTCTAAAGTAAATAATTCCGTTTTCAAAACTGAGTTGTCTTGCCCATACTTCCTAAATTTAGGGTTATATCATAAAGTCTGATTCTTGTCTGACATTAGATAGACGAGTATCGAGTTTTTTATTTTTGTCATCCCTAAATTCACAGGTGGTTGGGCATGTCAATAGAGTATTTTATGTTATCAATACATCTGTCCCCTTTTCCAATATCAAATCTTTGACCCCAAGGTTACCTTGATATTGCAATCTGTAGGAGGAATTCCACACTTCTCATGATATCGAGATTTAAGATTTGTTGCACGTTGCTCTTAAAATACAGAAATAAAGTTTTCTACAGTATAAAGCTTGATCGTTTCCAAATATTTTAGCTTGCAAATCTAAATATGGGTTTGTGATGTCAGGCGGGTTTCGGCTTTTCACTTACAACAATGGCGGGATAAACTAAGAAGAGAAAATCTCGCAATTTTATTTAAGCTTGTGCAACTTGATGTATGTTAGACAATGTTGAGTCCATCATTAAATTTATTAAAAAAATTTAATTAATTACGAAAAGATATCGTTGATTATAGGCGATATTGTCAGGTCTACCCACGTTTAAAAAATTATTAAATTATATGTTTGATACTAGGAGCAGTCTAACGAGGTCAAAAACATTTATCTTATTATCAGAAGAAGCTGAAATATTTTTTTTTCTTTGTTTACCGGTATTTTGTTAGAAAGCACATGTTTTATAATTAGGTTGATTTATTGTTGCCGACCCGACAAGGCCGACGTTCTAAGAGGGAATTCATACCTCTTGAACTTAAGTTTCTTCTCCTCCAGGTCCAGGGCGACAAGCTTTCTATCGAAATTGAGATGCAGGTTCGGCATCTTCTCAGCCTCTGAAAAATAACCAGGCATTGAAAATATAATGTACTAGTATAAAAAAATTGAATTCTGAAATTACCGTTCAATAGGACTTCGTTTATGTGCTTTCTTCCGACGGAATATATACACTATAGAAATATTAATGTAATAACGATTAAATTTGGTTTATAAGCAATAAACCGGTTAAAATCTCACTTGTTGGTACACTGGATCGTACGGGATGGGCCTGGTCTTTCCTGTGACGGAATGAATCATCCTGCCGTACATTGGTATGCCGTACGCCCTCACGCTATCGGCGATTCCGATTCCTTCTAGTGCTTTTAAGCCCCTCACAGAAAGCGCGAGGTTAATGGACTTTCCTTGGACAAGCTCACTCGTCCTAATGTCTAGAAAATTTCAAAAAAGACAACAATGCCTTATCATTTATAAAGAATTCAAATTAAATCCAAAAATATACGAATTCATTGTAGACGTCGAATATAGCCCTAATGTAAAATAAAATAAAATAAACTGCTTTAAGATATTTTATAATTAATTAAACAGAAATTCAGACCTAAAAAGAACAAAATTGGAAAAATGAAACCCGTGTACTTAGTGATATGTCTAAACTTAAATTAATCTAAATCTATCGTTAATCCTTAGATTCCAAAGCCTAAAACCTCCCTTTAACCTACCGTCCAATTAGGCCTTTGTCTACAATGGGTAAAATCCTAGATAACTCCTGTTTAAGAATCTTCCCCTTTACCTTCTACCTAATCAGAAAATCCTACTTAACCTACAGATCAAGTCGGTGGCTCCTCTCTATCGTCCGGCTATTGCATAGATGCTGGGGTATCCCAAGAAAGTACCTTAGAGCCTTTCTTCTTTGTAGTATATGCCACCGGCATTCCTACACTTTTTGAAACTACCCTTACCACCTTTGTTTTTTAAAGCGCCATAGTCAACTCTCCCATCAACTCAATAGCTCGTCCATGTCTTGTCCTACACATGTCCTACGCGGATTATAACGCCATCCTTTTCTCTCATAAAGATCCTCTCACCTCAACCCAGGTCACATCCCTTTCAGTTGTGGAAAATGACAATAAACGTACAAAAATTTAAACAAGACAGTTCAATTCTTCCAAGTACTCAACACATTCATTTACAATAATATCCATCTTCTACTAGCTCATCTCGTCCGCTACCTAAGGGTATATACTGAGAAACGATTTACATGGAACCCTCAAAAGAAGTTTCAGACGTCTTAAAAGACTTCTGGTTAAACGATCCATAATCCTGATAACCATTTGGACGTAAGGTATCGAACATTGGGGTTCAGCCAAACGTTCTAACGTCCAACGCATTCCATCCTTACAATCCTAAATTCTCCGAACCATCATCAAATCGTGTGTATCTAATCTTACCATACATAACGTTCTTAACATCCAATATATTCATGAATTCGTCCAAAAAGCCACAAGAATTTAAACGTTTATCCTGTCAGACAAAACCTCATGTCGGAAACCTTTCATCCCACACCCTTCCAGATGATAGAAGCGTCCGTCACTGGCCTCGCGACCTTTTTAATAATAGTGAGGTTGATTACCGCAAATACTCAGGAGACATTATAAACCGATATCATTTTTGCTTAAGGCCAGCAATTTACGCAAACGTAAATAAATAAACAAATTTTAAAAGAAATCTTATAGGTCTTAATAGTTTCTTGGGAGGTATGTTTGGCTTGCGGTACTGGTACGATTTTACATAGTAATTTCACTTCAATTTAGTTTAAAATTCTTCCTATCTTTTGGTTCTTCTGTTTTACTTCGTTTTTTGGTGTATAAGTTAGCCTATTTTATGTTTTTATTTAATTTTCTATTATTCTTGCTATTATAAAGTCTTTATGAGAATGCAATATTACTAATGAAAATAATAGTTTCTAAGTCCTGATCAAGGAATATGCTTATTTCTCGGAAGTTTGACGAAGGAATGATTTTTTCCTGATGATTTATGATGATTCCTCGGAAAGGGGAATTTCCACTTGAGACTCTTTAGGATAGGAGGGACGAGATGTGTAGGACAAGACATGGACGAGCTATTGAGTTGATGGGAGAGTTGACTATGGCGCTTTATAAATTTTTGAGCAATTAATTGTTGGATAAAAGTCGTTATGGACGCTAGTATTGAGGACATAACTCGGAGCATTTATAACTGAAGTAAAAATTTAAGATTGAAAAGTTTGGAAACGTTGGAAGGTTGAGCGGTTCCTCCTTACGTCCAAATCGCTCGCATTTTTTAGATTATAACTTTTTGTTGTCAACAGCTTGGATCATTTCATAAGTTTTTGAGAAGGCCGTAGCGTTTGTTTAGGTCTTGGCGTTTCAGTCGCGTATGTTATGTGAAGTGAACTGTCTATGTACCCAAGGTAACAAACGCAGTCCGATTTAGTGATAGAAACGTTGTGGTAACAGATATGAGAGGAGATTTACTGTGAAGAATATGACATGGACCCACTTCATTTATTTTCATTTTTCTATTGTCTAACTAATCTGCCATACATAAGATAGGAAATCTTTCAATGTAACTGTAGGATCGGGGTCAGAGGATAAGTAAGGCTGTGTCGTCGGCAAAGAAAGCAAGAAGAGCGTAGTTAGTACATCTGTGTATAAAGAAGAATGGTCTAAGAACACTGCCCTGCGGTACTCCCGCGGTGAGAGAGAGCAGTAGTCGAGTAATCTCAACCTTGCAACCTCTCTACTTTTGAAGACCCTATCGCTACATTCATACATCATGATTAAAAATGTTTTTGTTGCATTTTTCTCGATTTACTAGTTTTTTAAGAAAACTATTTTCAAGATGTTAAAAATGTTGATCAATATCAAATATATAAACTACAGCATTTTAAGAAAGGAGAACCACAAAAATAAATATGTATTTTTTATGTCCCATTTAAAATATAATTTTTTTCTTGGGTTTGTAAATTCAAATATCTTGCTGTAAATTACGAATAAAGTCAAATTTTAATCCCATCTTCAAGAAGGGAAATGAATCATTTTTGAAGATTTCGGTTTATACTAATTTACTACCCGAAATTTGTAGTTAAGCTAAATGTCAAACAAAACCATAAGTTTAAACGCAAAAAAAAAGGGTTTATAACCATTTTATATCGAAAACGTTATTTTCAATCTAGAAGGTCAATGTGTTAAAAATCGAACAGAATGTAAACAATTCTTTGGCCCAGGCCTAATAGATACGTAATGTAACTCGATGTTTTTACTTAATGAACATCGATAAAACGATAAACCAGTTAATACGTATAAATTGATTATAGTTTTGGCCAAAGAAATACTATTTTACTTGTGCCATCGTAGAGCCGAAATTTGGCTTTTGGCTTGAAGGGCATGTATAAATGTCATTAAACCTCGCTTTCAAGAAGGTCAGATGGTCTAAAAACCCAGAAGGTTAAAGGGTTACTTTCTTGTTGAGATTTTTACACTATTTAATAAATTAATGGCTGGCAGTACCTTCTCTGTACTCGTACAGATGTACATTGTAGCCACGTTGTCCAAAGTAGGTAGCGATTAAAGAGCCCACCTGAAAAAGTAAAAAAAAAATATTACAATTGCCCAAGTTTATATTACTATTGTCTGTAGTTTGACTGACATTTATTTTGTCCTTTGTGTAGGGTTCTGGAAAATGTCATGTGAGGGACGAAATTTATTTTCTGATAGGTGGGTGTCATTCTTTCGAATATCAGAGGAACAAACTGAATGGAAAAAACGCAAGAAATAACACACAGGAGCACAACTCAAATGAATACATATAAATCGTATCTGGGAATGTTGATCAAACTGCGGACCAAGTGCCTTTTGTTATTTATTTCACCTTGATTAATTAACAAAATTTATTTAAAAGAATATAACATGACATAGCTAGACTAAATTCATATTAACTATTAATATTTGTTTAATAAATCAAAGGAGTGTGTACGAAGAACAACCAACTTATCTCAACTTTGAATATTAATTATATTTATATACAAAAACAGCAGAGGTCATATAAACTCTCAGGGGCAATGAGAACAACCCCTACAAACGCATTAGAAACTTTGCTAAACCTACCTCCACTGGGAATATTCATACAAGGAGAAGCTAGGAAAAGCTCACTTAGGCTCCAGAAACAATTAAATTGGAAAGGAACTAAACAATTCGGGCATTCAGCCATAATCAATAAAATCAGAAACCCATTATTAGAAATGGGGACTGATTATATGATCCCGGAAACAACTTCCTATAAAGTCTCAACGGTCTATAAAGGAGAGGAAGAACAGATACAATGATATGGTACACAGATGGCTCAAAACAAACGAAGGAACCGGATCAGGCGTTTTCTGTACAAGCCCAAAACATCAGCAATCAAACTCGTTAGGGAAGTACACATCGGTCCTTCAAGCGGAAATACATGCCATAAATGCTTGTGCCCTGGAAAATCTTAAAAGAGGTTACACTGACAAATAAATCCTAAGATCAGACAGCCAAGCAGCTATTAAAGCATTAGAATGTAAAAGAATCACATCAAACCTAGTCAGTGAATGCATCCCAAATCTCCAAAACCTGGGGAAACACAACAACCTGATGATATCTTGGGTGCCAGGGCACAGGGGAATTTTGGGTAACGAGAAAGCAGACAGACTGTCCAAAGGAGGATCTGCAAGACCATACATAGGCCCCGAACCTACTCTTGGGATAACAAAAACAAATATAGAATCCTCCATCGCAGAATGGATCCAAGCAGAACAAAAGGAGAAGTGGATAAACTCTAGCGGTGCTAGACATAGTAAACTTATGATGAAACAACCCTCACCAAGAATGGCAAAAACACTGCTGCAATTGGAGAGGGCCAAACTCAGAGGAGTGGTAGGACTATACTAACCGGCCACTGGTATCTGAGAAAACATCTACTCAACATGGGTATATACAGCGATGGTCCCATTTGCAGATTATGTAATGAGGAGAAGGAAACAGCCACTCATATCATCTCCGAATGCGAAGCAATTAGCTCAATGGAGGTATAACCTAACGTATGGAAAAAACTTAGGGAATCAAATTGCAGCAGCAACAGTCAATGACCTGATACTTCTAAGAAGAAGGATTGAGTCTATTGACTGAACTAAGGAACTAGGAAGGTACAATAAGCCAGAAGGCTGCAGTGCCTGGGGAATACAAGCCCCGCTTCCTAGTATCCTTTTCTACCATACCATACCATAACTCTCTTAAACCGTTGCGGCCACCGACGTCCCCTTTAATTACTTTTGATACATTTTGTAATAATGAAGGATGGTTTTATTGCAACTCAAGTGGCAGGTTGAGACAATCCTCGTACTTTTTGAAGATTTAAGAAATGAGAGTGAAGCATTTTTTTAACTACTTTAGAATGGGTGTGCAAACATTTGACGAACTACGCGAACGAATAAGATATTATTTAAAGATAACGAATAAAAGATTCCTTACAGAGCCGTAACGCATCCTCGACAATATATCCTGCCTATTCAGAATTATGGCCAAGACAATGATTCATCCATATTTCAAGAGTGTTCTTTGCAGAAATCACTACTGAAAAATGAACTCAGAATCCCAGAAAAGAAATGTCTTCAAATCCAAAAGTACTATATTTGGGCTGCACTAACACCCACATAAATAGTGGATCCAGGTTTGGTCTTGAAGAAAAAAGTCAAATTCAGTTGTTAATACCAAAATTTTGACATATTTTAAGATCATCATCAGGGCAAAACAATCATAAATATGTCAACATATTGACTTATTTATGTTTTTTACAGACAATCTCAATAGAAACGATGAATGGTGGAGTGAGTGCGGTGTTCAATCCTTTTTTTAAAAAGATAGTTCCTAATCACGGTAAGTTGTTTTCCAATGATCCGGATTTCGAGCCCTTAGCTCATCATCAGGTTAAAGGATTTCTACAACCACGTCTCTCGACATGAATTGCAAAAGTGAACCCGCCGATACCCCCTTCGCACGTTCAAATCGAGCGCCGTTAAAAAACCAGCTTCTCATTGGAACGTCGCGTTGGCGGGGGTATCGGCGGGTTCACTTTTGCAATTCATGGCGAGAGACGTGGTTGTAAAAATCCTTCAACCTGATGATGAGCTAAGGGCTCGAAATCCGGACGTTGGAAAACAACTTGCTGCGAGTACGAACTATCTTTTTTTAAGAAGGACGATCTCAAATTTTTAGAAAATTTGCTTTTCTCTTTAAAACCATACCTTGATCCAGAGTGTTCGTGAGTGAAAAAGTGGCCGATACTTCTAATATTGAAAACAAACTCCTACAATCATAAATATTATTAGAATAATAACGAAGCAAATGTAATAAAATAAATACCAGACCACCTTGCGTTCGATACATTTTATTACGCTAAATAATATACAATAAAACAGTCAGAACAAAAGGTAGAATTTTAAAATGATGAAAACAGTAAAATTACATTCTTTATTTTATAAATTTTCTATGTCGATATATTAATATTGTAAATTAGCAATATATTTGTGGTTAATGGATTGAAGTGTAAAAATTATTTGACTTACTAAGCCACCACCAACAACGACGACTTTCAAATTGGCCCTGTCCATCGTCTAACTACCTTCGTGGCCAACAGGTTACTGAGCTGCTCGGCTTTTTTTACACCCAAGTTACATAACCGTCGGTACACGGTACAATTGAAGCCAGTTAAGTGATAACGGTGTACAATTTCACGAATCATAGATGAAAAGCGGATTGCATCCTTTCAAGAAAAAGTTACATAAGTCGGTGGACAATCGAAAAAATGATTGTCAATTTTTAGTTTTATGAATATACCTCACCATTTACTATGGAATTACTTGTACACAATACAAGCACAATGATTAGTTGATCAGAAACAAAAATTACTTTTTTTCCCATCTGATTCTCGCCATAAATAAGCAAGTTTGATTGCATAGATCTTTTTATATTGGTATACATAGTACTTCTTTGTAAATTTTATAGGTTTCAAGTCATTCTAATTGTTGGTAAAATCGGACAACATAAATCGTTAAATACTGTTTATTTTCTGGGCGAGAAACAGTTCCACCTTAGCATATACAACAAAAAAAGGCAGCTTAGTGAAATGGCGAAGGTTTTCGCCGGTGGTTGACATAGTTTCGGTTTTCTTCTTCGTTACAAATATTCAGGAAAAACTATTTCGTTCTACAATATTAAATGATTATATTATTATATAATCTTTACTCGCAAAATAAATCAAAGTAGGTTTGATAATCTCAGGCATTCATGCAATGCCTGAAAATAAAATTAAAAACATTATTGAAAGAATGTAGCAATGTAGGTGGACTGTATCAGCACAGAAGCCCTCTAATATCAACAGCATTGTCGATATGTGGCCCTCGGAGTAGATCTGAATCGTAGAAGAAAGGTCATCCTTCCAGATTAAATATACGCCATACGAGGTTGACAACGGTCACTTACTTTTAATCCAAAGCCGCGTATGTTTCTGCCATTAAAGAGACAAGTTTCCCACTTAATTGAAGCTTAATTGATTACAATTAATTAAGGTTTTTAGTTGAGATAAAAAAGTCAATGGCACGAGCGGGATTCGAACCCACGATCTTCGGCTAGATAGCTCTCCGTGACCATTTCATTTGTCGCCGAGAATCCAATCCGATTACACGACATTTGAAAAATGGCAAAAAGGAGGGTAAACTCAAAAGGTGGAGTTGAGATGGGGAGTTGGTGTCCGAGTGGATCAAGGTCACGATAGCTCAAGTGGTAGAGCAGCGGCGTATCTAGCCGAAGATCGTGGGTTCGAATCCCGCTCGTGCCATTGACTTTTTTTATCTCAACTAAAAACCTTAATTAATTGTAATATATAAATTGGTCAAGCGGACCACGAAATTAGTGAATATAATTGATTACTCCCTAGCTCCATGCAGGATTCCCACTCGAAATGAAAATGTGCTTGAGCACGGCAACAAGTTCCGATAGAGGTGTTAGTTTACCGTGCATAGTACTTTATAGATATCTAGTCATGCATTTCTTTGCGTATATTGGGACTGAATGTATTTATTAGCGTGAATGTGTAGTGCGAGAGGGCATATATAGCATACTATGTACAGTAAGACAGTCCTGTTTCCTCTAAAAATTGAAACAGGAGGCCCAAATACTGCACAGGCAACTCATTCACTCCTGAAGGCTTCCCAGTCGAGGAGGCAAAAGTGACGGCAGAGGACTCCATCCCGAAGAGACCAGTTGAGGCGGCCTCCCTCGCCATTCTTTCTACCAACAAGGCCAGGAATTCAATTGCACGTTGCTTTCACACATGTTTTGATATTGTTATATCTTATAAGAACATCCAAGTTGTTTAAATTTATAGAGGCGTTCTTTAGTGTCAAACAGGTAGTACGGACGACATTGGTGTTATTGGCTTTGAGTATAGTAAGGAGTTTACGGTGAAAATAGAGCAAAGTTGTTGCAGATAGGAACGATATTCTTGTAATCCATAGACATCAGCAAATCCTGTTCCATCTTCAGACCCGTGACCATCAGTGAAATCATATTATTCCCTTCATGTACACATCTGAACAGAAGTTCACCTTTAAATAGTGAGGAATGGGCTTTTAACCTTGCAGTAAAATGAAAATGAGACAGAGAAAAGGAGTCGGAAGAGTTCAAAAATATTTTTTAACATAATATTTTATGAACGACTAAGAGAAAGCAGAAAAGAAATTTCTGCTTTCAGTACAAGTAAATTAGTCTGAATTATATTTTTCTATGATAAAAATATCTCCCTTGTAACAAAGTATTAATAGCTGAAATTCTATTCGACACCGCCTTTCCTCCAATGTGTAAGAGATCATTTTTATGTAATTGATACCTAACCGTCAGTACATTGTTCTCTTTTCCAACTATGTCTAAAAGTGAATCGGGCAATGACGGATAAATGTGAATGAATGACTAGTATTAAAACACGTTGAAAATTTGGCATGGAATAAACGCGATGGGAATATCTTCAGACTAGAAGTGGGGTTAACGCGGTAGTCAGTTGCCAAATTTTGTGGACAGTTGACCTACAGTGTTCTAACTGGCCTATGAGAAGTAAGTACTTTATACACACGTTCGTCACAGAAAAAACGATTATATTCAATACATTATACATAGGATCTATGAATTCAGAAATTCGGTTCATAGTCCGTCTAAATGATAAAATTCCAAAAACAAGTTTACAAACAAATCTTACATCAGATTAACGTGCTCCAGATTTCTTGTTTATGTTCCGTATCATAAAACTGGTTAAGTGTAATGTTTTAACGTTAACTATTTTAAGAAACTCAAGTTGGGCTTTCATATACTTAAAACATCCACAAACGTCAGTAGGTAACTGGTAAGAACGAAAATAACCCGTTTGTTTGGAATAACTTAAACTTTACAGTGTACAGGATAACTGTAAACAAACCTCCTTGCCAAATTTTAAAATTTTCTTTCTATTTTTTTAAACCACGTGCTCTAACTGTGATGGTCGTTGTTCAACTTATATTTACTTAGACGAAAGTGCATTTCGTAATACACAATCTATAAAATCTTCAACGTGCTTTATTTATAGTCGGGGATAAACCTTGGTAGTTGAGTGGGGGGTCAAAAGTTAAATCCGACGATATTTCGCCATTCATAAAAAAAATCTTAAAACATATATAAGTCTTATGCAAAATCATGATGATTCATTAGAGAAATCAGTGTTAAAAAACGAAAAGTTGTTGTTTTTTTGTTACATAAGTTATTATGTTTTTTCAAATATAAGGCGAATATGTCCGCATGTAGAGAAAGCACGATGTATCCCATTTAATTGGAGGATGTCATTCCATGACTCCATATAGAGAGCGTGTAAGAATCCCACCCATATGAGAATTGTGATTGCGGGGGGTTAATTTGCGTCCCCTTTGACCTTTTTTTTAAAAGAAACAGTGCTTTTTTATATATATACTCAAAGACAAAAACCGTACACTCATATTTTGTTATTTATATGTTATGTTATTTATATGTACTTTTATCGTTATAATAATTACAACATACTTGTTTAATGTTAACCAAATTAAACGAGATCAAAACTTCATGGGTTTTAATAATAATTATGTAATTTTGATGGTTGAAAGAAAATTTACCAAAACAACCGAAAGTTATGTATAAATGACTCTTTTTCTCCCTCACCCGAAAGTCATTTATTGATAGAATGAATTTAACTAACGATTTATTACCTGATTTTGCTCATAATAACATATTAAGAGGAAAATTAGGTCAAAAAAAGTTAGTTAAAGTTAGTAATTAGTAACTAGTTGTATTAATTAGTTAAAATTTTCCCCTCTCGTTTAATTTGGCTTACATTGACGTAATTATTTTTGTAATTAATATAATGATAAAATACATATATGTAGTTTGAAATTGACAACGAACAACGTTCGGCGTCCGGTGTCCTTTTTTTAAAAGTTTTTATAAAACAATTTGGCATTGTAAGTGCAAGAAGTTACGTGATTTCTCATTGAATACTGTTGGATAATGAACTGGTTATGACCAGGTTGCTTAGAATTTAACCAAACTACAAATATCGAAATGTTCTAAATATATGGGCTATAAAATTCATAAATATAAATTGTATATAGTACTGATGAATCTCTCGTTTTGTGTATATTGAGATTGAATGTATTTATAAGCGTGAATGTGTAGTGTGAGTATAGTTCCGTATATAGTGTATGTAAATTTTTTTTAAATGTATGTACAATTATATATTTTAGAAGGTATACAATGTTTACTACTTTTTATTGCCATGCTTAGGCATTTTTGGTAGAGCCATTGCATATAGCTATGTATGAACTAAAATTTTAGTTTTTCTGTGAAACAAATATCACTAATACCCATAAAACTATCCAAATTTCCATATAGTGCAAATTTGTGTAAGAGTTAAATACATCTGAATTGAAATTGCCATTACATGAGAAATCAAACACAAAAATAGTATTACATAAAAGTTAATATTATTATATAATATGTTGTGTTATTTCTCTAGGTAAATTTTTTAGCCTTTCCTTTTGGACAGTATTGCTTATATACCACTTTTATTTTTTTAAATTATTTTTTATCATACTATATTTACATGTATTTTACTTTTATCTTTACCTGGCTTTATTTTGTGTTATTTATTGATTTTTAATCTTCTATGATTTTTTGTTTGATGTTTGCTGTTCATAAGACCTGGAAATTTATCAGTACCAGAATTAGATAGAAAAAGTTCAGTGCATTTGGAATAATTAAATTAATCAAATAATCTTATCATTTCATTTCAGATGGGATTGGTAAAATCGAGAGTTGTCACAAAAATGGAGCACGCCTTAAATGCCCTGGGTACATGTGGTGTTTTAAATATGTTTTATCTCGGACCATTTGAGAGCGTTTTACTCACTGTGGTTCTTTTACTCTCACCACTCTGGCCTCTCATGATCTTATACCTCCTATGGATTTACTATGACAGAGAAACACCCCAAAAGGATGGAAGGAGGTTCATATTGTTTATAGTAAATATTTATCTAAATATGATATGAAAACAATTCTAAAATATTGTATACAACAATTCTAAGATATTATATTTATTTTAATTTAATCATTGCTTTAACAAAAATTTCACAGCATGGACCAATTTTTCAGGGTAAAATGGATCAGACAGTTGCCAATGTTCCAGAGGTTCAGAAATTACTTTCCTCAAAAGATTATCAAAACGGCTGATCTGTCGCCAGAGGAGAATCACATGCTATGTGTATTCCCTCATGGTATTCTTTGCACAGGAGCTTTATCACAGTTCACAAGTGAAAATCCCGCTTTTGAAAGCCTATTCCCAGGTATAGAAATTAGCTGCCATACTCTAAACTCTAATTTTTGGTTTCCATTTTCAAGGGAGTATGTCATGGCAATCGGTAAGTCATTTTTACATTAAAATCAGGTTCCTTATATTATTAGTTTATGTACGAAAAATATTCTCAGTTAAAATTTGTAGGCTTGACTGCTGTGTCTAAAGAAGCGCTTGTTTACCAATTGAGCAAGCCGAAAGGGCGTGGTGTAGCTTTGGTTGTTGGTGGGTCTGCTGAAGCCATGATAAGCAGTCCTGGGACCCACCGAATAATTCTTAAGAACAGAAAAGGCTTTGTAAAACTTGCAATCACAACTGGGTAAGCAAACAAATTTGAAAAATGTATACCAAATAAAATATAATCCAAAAAGAAAAGAAAGGAAGGTGCAAAAAGGAAAATGTTCTTCAGGAAGATTCAATTATTAAATGACACACTAAAATTATCAATAATTCTTATGAAAGGGAATTAAAAAAAATACTAAGATTTAATTATGGAACTTTAATAATAATTATTGAAGTATTTTGCTTAACAAAAAGTTTAAAAAGTCAATAATTAATAGTTATTTTTTATTTTATTGCATTTTTTCTTTTCTTTCATACACGCTTATCTAAATTTTACACATTTTTAACTATCTCACACCAAAATAATTTAAGATAATAAAAATTAAATAATTTATCCATTTTCTAATCCAAAGCAATGGCTTTTGTGAAATATTTATTTATATATATTTACTGTTTAACAAGAACTAATTTGGTGCCGATATACATCTTTGGTGAGACAGATCTGTACACAAATTACATGTTCCCTGAAAATTCGATCATCTACAAAGCACAAGAAGCTTTCAGAAAATTCACAGGTGTCGCACCTGTGTTGGTAAACGGTGGAGGCATTTTCCAGCCCTATTTTGGTCTCTTGCCCCGTCCTTATCCAGTCTTTATGGTTGGTGAGTAAAGAATCTCTTTGCAAATTTCTATACACGTTACTCATACCTTAACCTTTTTTTTAAGTCGGAAAGCCCATTCATGTAGAGAAGAAGGAAAACCCTTCAAGGGAAGATGTGAACAACCTGCACAATGTGTTCATTCAGGAATTAGTCAATTTGTTCGAGGAGCAGAAGTACAAATATTTAGCCAAGCCAGAGAGTGCTCATCTTAGTATTGAATGACAGCAGCTAACATTATTTTTACCAAAGATTTTGTAATGTTTTTGGGTGTATCATGTACATTAAAAATTAAGCTCTATACGAGTTATTGGATTGTTAAATAATGCATAAATAACAACGAAGCATATTTTTTTAAATAAAATTTATGAATATAAATATTTTTGTATAAAATTAAAAACGTGATGAAACTCAAAAATATATCATTACTCATGAATAATTAATCTAAAATACAAAAATATTTTTTTTTTATAAATGATTGTTTTATAACAAATGAATCAATTGATATTTTATACAGTTCTTTTGTACTATTTTGATTTTTGTAGATATATAAATTTACTTTGTGTACTTTTTATAATATAGTATATCATATGTTAAATAATTAGAATTACTGAAAAAATGATCCTTAATTAAAGTGAAGTTGTAGCAGCCTTGGCATTTATCATCTTATCTAACCATTGATTCCTAAAACCCGTAATATATTACAGCTCTGTAGTTGAACAACCTAGTCCAATAGGCTTAAAGAGGGTCTGAAAAGTAAATGTAAACTTTATTTACAATACATTGTTTGATTATATTTACACACAAAACATGTTGAATTTTGGTGATATTGTAAATAAAGATAAAAATTTGTATTAAATTATTGTCGTTAGGTCATTTATTCTGAAGGCAGGTAAATCAATCAATTAGACTCATTAATAGAAATGATAAATGGAGTGAGTATGTTGTCCAATCTTTACACAAAGATTTTTTTATCCTACAACAAATGTGACCGACTAACAACAATAATTTAATACAACTTTACAAATCCTTAACTGAAAAAAAGAAGGACAGGAAAATCTTTAAAAAAGATGTACGTTTTCCATAATTTAAAACAAAAAATTTTGCATTTTTTCTTTTAAATAGATCGAATAAGCAAAATAAAATTACTGAGTTTTTCACAAGAAAAATTAATTATTTTCTTATAATTGTAAGAATAAAGAGAGCATGTTTTTCTATCACACTTTTGGGCCACTTAATCGAAGTGTCATTCCTTGGCTCTATATAGAGAGCGAGTAGGAATGCCACCAAATAGGTGAATTGTGCCTGAGTATAGCAGTGAGTATTTGGATCCCCTATTTGGATTTTTGGAGGAAACAAGGCTGTTTTATTGCCTATTAGTACTGATAGATATCTCGTTTGGAGCTCCCTCGTTTTTGTGTTTGTTGAGCTTGAATGTATTTATTAGCATGAATGTGAAGTGCGAGGGGTGTAAATGGTGGCAAAATGATATAAAGTATGCCGAAACAGCATGTAAATAAGAAAGAATGCATTTAAGTTTGAATGAGAGCTTTAAAAGCTGTATGCATTGGAGGCTGAAATAGCCCCTGAAGCCTAAATTCAGCAGGACTTCCAAGATGGCCAAAGTAGGTGATTCTCATGGCTTGCTAGAAGAAGTCAAGCTTAATTATGTATATATGTGTTTGTATGTCCAGAATTGAGCCTATATTAATCAATCACTATTTTTCTAGTTTGCAAAGATTATATCTTAGCCCAATGTCTTTTTTATTTAGTTATTTATTTTTTGGTAACATAATGTAAAAATTTGTCAACAACATGAATTTTCTTTTTAATAAGAAAAGTAAATTGTCACATATTACCAGGGCTCTATGTTTCTTTTATGTTATAAATATAACATTATGTTTATTTAAGTCAATAACTTTAACTACTTCCTTAATCTACTGATTATTTTTATCTTTTTTTTTTTCTGTGACTAAAGAGCCAAATAAAAAACAAGTATTTTGGGACACACAGTATATCTGTAAAATTCAATTAATAAGATTAGAAATCAACTTTGTAATTGATCAGATTGCCTCAGTTTACACCAAGAGATAAGGGCTGTAAGAGTCTGTTTAGTAGAACAGTGATCAGAGAATTCTTCTATCTTATAATCTTGTTTACAGTCAAGCAACAACAACTTCTCAATACATATCAGTGTTCGACATATCCGCTGGTTAGGTATATCAAATATTTACACATTGGGATTCCTCCACCCAACCCAATACAATTCCAAATATCCATTTTCCATTTTTATGTTAAGCGGAAAATGGAGGTTTTTGGAATAAAGTTTGCACCTTTAAATGTACCTTTAAAAAGGCGTGTTGAAACTATGTGTGCCCTCTTATGGATTTGTACCCTTACACTAGGGACATTTATAGGCTTCGGGGCAATGGCCTATTTGATTTTTTTTACAAGATATTATGTGTTGGCGATGATGTACATATTCTGGATATTTGTGGACAGTGAGACATGCCACAATGGTGGAAGGAGGTAAGAAAAGATTCTATATTATTGTAATTATAATTTGATAGTAAATGAAAATGCTAAAGTAACTTAATAATTATAATTAACTAAATTAATAAAAACTAGAGGTCTATTGAATTAACTTTTTTAATATTAAAAACACAATGATTACATATACCAGTGTACTTTGTACCAGTGTTAGGTAATAACAAGTAAATAAAATATAAAATAATCGGTTTTTTACTATAAATTTACACTAAAAAATGTTTTTTTTTTAATTTTTATCTCTATTTAAAAGAGATAAATTTTTATTGCTGTGTCATTTGAGTTTGAGAGTTATTTTTTATTTATAAAGAGACCAACATCGTTTAAAATAATACATTTAGTACATTTTGCGAAACTAAAGAGCTTACTTTTTCATTCATGGATTTGCATCTCATATCATTTGAACTTTTACCATTTTTCAATTATGATTTACACATATAATATACATAATCAAGGTACTGGTACATTCATGTGTTAAATTGTTAACAATACTAAAATCTCGAATTTCAATTATTCATAGTTTCTTAATAGTGTTACTAACTGAAAATATGTAGTTGGATTATACCTGATCATCCTCGTCTGCCTATTCTCGCTGATTCGGTTTGCCTGACATCTTAAATACTTAGGTCGTTCAATCTGAAATACATGCTATAATGCTTGTGTCATAGAAAATTTTAAACGAGGTTACACATCAAAAATCTCATAAGATCAGACGACCAAGCAAGCCTGAAAGTATGTAAAATGGTCACTTCCAAAATATGTCCAAAACCTGGGAAAACACAACAACCTGACTTGGGTACCAGGACGCAGAGTTCTGAGTTGTGGAAAAAACAGACGATCTGGCCAAAGGAACTGCAGGATCATATTAGTCCCAAAACCTACACCTGGAAATATGTTTTCCAGTTCTGTTGTTTTGAAAGGTTTGAATTTGTTTAATATGTTATATTATAGATCAATCTACCCTCATTTTTCTTTAAAATTCTCCAAATTAATTGATTATTTAGATAGAAGTTTGAAAAGTTGGCTGGCATCAGATTTGATTCTTCTCTGAACAGAACTTGTATATACTTTCCTTACATTTGTTGTATGCTCTGCATTAACTTATCTCATGAATTATTGTTTGCTTATGAAAATAAGCTTAGCTAGTTTTGTGAAGTTTAGTTTCCCAATTCTGTTGATTGTTATATTTATTTTATTATAATTTTGTTATAATATTTGAGTTTATTATAATAATTATTTTCTTGATCCTAACTTTTATCTTTATGATTTCCTTCTTTAGCAGTTTTCCATAAGTATTATAATTCCATAGGTTTATAAATTTGTCAATTTCATTCACATATGATGGTGATCAGAACTTTAATGTTTTGACCACTAGTCCTAGATTTCTATTTGGTTTAGCCTTATTTTTTGTTGTATTTTATATCTAAAAGTAGTGACAAATATGTTTTCAGTCCACGTATTGTTCAGGGTTATTGTAGATCCCAGATTTGATCAGATTTAATTTTTCTCTGAACAGAATAGATCTTCCCTTTTATTGATAACATTCTTAAGTTGTAAATCTGCATTTAATTTCTAGCCCAAAAATAACTAGATATTGACACTGCATTGCACTTCTGTTTAAAATACTCCATGATATTATATTAGTCTTTCCTTTTTCAATGGTGCTAAACTAATTTAAATAATTTATAACAGTTTTTTTTTTTCATACAGTACAGGTAAAACCTTTAACTATTTATTAGATTACAGATAATTAGAATTATGATGAATAGGTAAATGAATATTAATGACCATTCTTTTCAAAGAATACTTTATCTCTTCAAATGTATACTAGAATCTAAATCAGTTTCTTGATTTATTATTCTATTTCAAATTAAATTCTTAACAATTTTGCTTATACTACTTGTACTTATAATCGTTGATGAAATTTTGTTTCAGATCAAATTTTTGTAGAAAGTGGAAGTGCTGGAAGCATTTCTGCGAATTTTTCCCTCTAAAGCTTGTTTATAAATGTGACCTTCCGAATGACAAAAATTATCTTTTTTGTGTGTACCCTCATGGGATTTTGTCAGCTGGAGCTTTCGGTCATTTTGCCACAGATACATCAGAATTTTCCAGTTTTTTTCCTAAACTGAAGACCCACCTGGCAACTCTGGATATGCACTTCAATGTCCCGTTTTTCAGAGAACTTATCCTTGGTTTGGGTATTTTTCACTTTCTTATTTCTAAATAAAGAATTTGAATCTTAGAAAAATTATCCGTGTGTTTTTGTTTTTTTAGGGTTTGTGCCAGCTTCAAAGGAGTCGATTAAAAACGTATTAAGTTCAGAGAAAAAAGGAAATGTCCTAGCACTAATTGTTGGAGGTGCTTCTGAAGCATTCAATGCAGTACCAGGCACTTATAGAATAATACTAAAAAAAAGAAAAGGGTTTATAAAAATGGCCTTAAAAACTGGGTATTTGGGTTAACTCCTATTCTTTAAATTAAAATTAGACTGTAATAAAAAAATTACTTTACTTCCAGAGCCCCTTTGGTTCCTGTATTTTCTTTCGGCGAGACTGACATATACGACCAAGTCCCAAATCCACCAGGGTCTACCATCAGGGCAATTCAAAGTTGGTTAAAAAGTATCACCGGTATCGCTCCATGCATACCGATCGGAAGAGGGATCCTCCAGTACTCCTTTGGTCTAATTCCGAGAAGATGTCCAGTCACCACAGTCAGTAAGTATTTTTTTCCCTTATATACCCTTGTAGTTAGTGAGTATTTAATAAAATAGCAATGTTTGTTTTTAGTTGGTGAACCAATTGAAGTACCTCATAATGTGTTTCCTGAACAAGAACTTATAGACAAATACCATGATATCTACACAAAATGCCTTATTGCATTATTTGAAGAGTACAAGCATAAGTACATAAAAAGTCCAGAAAATACCCACCTGATTATTGAATAGACTGCAAAAAATTAACATTAGAAGTAGTAAATGATTGAAATTTTATATATTTATGTAATAAAATAAATATATTAAATATGTTTATTTTATAGGTAGTTGTTGTTTATTTTTTAGAACGTTGTGTTGTTAATTGTTATATTAAAAAAAATTGTCAGTCCTTCTTTGTTTTATTAAAAAATTTTACATTACTATTGTATTCATTGAAATTTTTTTACACTCATTCTCATTTGGTTGTACAAATATAGTAGTATATATTACAGTTCAAACTTTTTGTTAATGCTATTTATTTCTTGTTAAATATTAAATATATAAGTTTTGAAATTGTATTTAGTGCCAAATAAAGATCATTTATTTATATTGAAATTCCCTCATCTCTTTAATATCTAGTATCTTTGTTTTAAAAATATGACTTTGTCAAATGTACATTCAACTTACCTTGCCTTTAACACATTTGAAAAAGTAAGGTGGTATTGCATTTTAAAAAATATTTGAGTTATTTCCATAGTCATTTTTTCCAGCATAGACAATTTATAATTTAAAATTTTGATAAGATATTTTATAAGAGATGTTAAGAAGCCAAAACGTGTATGACAGACCAAAACAGCTAGAATATGCGGACCAAACGAATCGAAGAAGACTAATCGATAAAAAAATATTCTTCTTCCTTTCCTCTTTTTGACAACACTTTTGTAAATAACCATTCAAAGTAGAATTTCAGGTAAATGCACCTTTTGGAGTATGAGAATATAAATCAAACATAATAAAAAATACCATCCTTGCTTAAAATTATATTCTGTACAAAATTTTATAATGGCAGTATTGAAAATCTATTGTTAGTTATTTATCATCTTGGTATGCCTATCCTCTGTGACCACCTGTTTTAATAGACTGGTGCAATTTTCTTAATTTTCTAATTGAAATGAATTTCTTGGAAAACCCGAAAATAGTTTATTTCCAATTTTGCAATTTAATTGTGTTAGTAAATGAATTACATCAAACAAAACATTCTGTATTTAAATAAAGTTTAAACAAAATCCACTAATGAGAAATGAAAATGTACTAGATACTTTTCTAAATTAAGAACAAAGCTAACTGTTATTATTACTGAATTCACTAATTTTGAAATAATAATTGAAACATGGCAAAAAGGAGGGAAAATTCAAAAGGTGGGGTTGAGATGGGAAGTTCGGATCCAAGTGGATCGAGGTCATGATTGCTCAAGTGGTAGAGCAGCGGCATATCTAGCCGAAGATCATGGGTTCAAATCCCGTTTGTGCCATTGACTTTTTTATCTCAACTAAAAACCTTAATTAATCGTCATTATTACTGAACTTGAAGTAAAATGAGGTGTTTAAGGACCTCTCTTTAAGCTGCAACGCAGCACCAAAATAGAGTGATTCTAGTTGGACATTTCTCACTTTGTACTAGCAGTTTTTCATCACATGTTTGTCTGACATTCTGCAATTTATGAACAAAGTATATACAGATAGAGAAGAAAAGCACAATGTCCCGTGGCATAAATATTTCCTTATATTGTACGTTTCGAGCTCATTGGCCGATGTTGGCAATCCCACTGGTCATTTCCCAATCTGAGTCTCCATAAAATGATCAATTTGTTATACAAGTGATAGAAGTGACTTGATAGTCTACTTAAGAAAGTGGTGCATTATGTTTTCTATGTGTGTCAAAAAATGTAAACATATCCACTTAACTACTTTTTTTTAATTATTCCTCTTATTTTCCTAACTTTCAACCTAGTTACCTGTATATATTTTTACCTACTTATTGTCATAGATAGTAATTAACTATCTTTCGATGAAACCATACATTATCTACTTTTTGTAAATAAGTAAAGGATCTAATAAACCTAAATTAAATTAAATCTAATAAATAAATATATAATGAAAATTAAATTAAATATAATTTTTTGACAGTGTCCACCCTGATTTTGTGGAACTCCATAATAAGTAGATGGGTATGAATTAAAATGTCTTTTCACAGTAGGCATTTATTTTCTCAGACACGTTTCAGTCTAATATACACCATCTTCAGTGACTTTTTTAATATTTTATGTTTTTTTTCCAAAAGTCACTGGAAATGGTATATATTAGCCTGATCACGTCTGAGAAAATAAATGTCTATTGTGGAAAAAACAATTTACTTCCCCAAAGCTGGTCTCTATTGAATGAGGCTAGCATATACACAGCCGAACTATATGCAATCGGAAGATCATTGAGTATTTTAAAGGAATTTGTAATGCTATTATTTGCTCTGATTTGAAGAGTGGTTTCGAAGCCATCAAAAATAATTTCTTGGTTGACCCATACATCTTAGAAATTCACAAATACCTCTATGAAATCAAAGCACTTAACAAACATGTGGTATTCGGTTCGGTTCCTAGTCATGTCGGCATTACTGGAAATGAAAAAGCTAATCAACAGGCAAGGAACTCTGCAAACCATCCACAAAGAACAGATCAATTTCCTCTCCACCCAGATTACATAGTCATTTATGTTAAAAACATTATCAAACAAAAATGGGCAGCAAGATGGAATGTCTGTAGAGATAGTATGAAAGAAATTAAGCCAGTTGTACATAAATGGCCAACTGAGGAACTTGAGAGAAAAGAACTCGTGATTCTCTCTAGATTGCGAATAGGTCACAACAGGCTAATCCATAATAGGCTTTTAATAGGCAACAACCTTCCAACTTGTCCTCGATGTATGCGAAGTAGAGAACATACCATTCTGATTGTAAAACATATTTTGGTCGACTGTTGCACTTTGCAACCTTTAGACAAAGTCTCAACCTTTCGAGTGATTTAAAGGAGTTACTGGGTCCCCAGTGTTTGTTTCAAAGAGCACTTTTCAGCTTTCTCAAATTTATTGGAAATTATAATGATTTCCCAAATTGTTATACCATTGAATGTTTGTCTGCTAGTGTTTGAATAAATTGCTGGGTAATAAACTACAATGCCCAAAATCGCAATTTAAATAAGAAAGATAGGGGAAAAAAGTGTTATTGTGTTTTTGTTTCTTATTATTGATAAGTAGCATTAGTTTTTTTTTATTATATTTGAATGGAAGAATAAAATGATAGTGATGAGCCTATATTCATACTGAGACTGTTGCTAGTCTGACTCCATTATTATTATTATTGCCCATATAAGCCTATGTGAAATGTTTAAATTATGGAACAAATATTCGAAATTCTAATTAAGAACAGAAATAAATTTTACAATTTACCTATAACCTTAGGTTCAAAATATTAAAACGTTTGTTCGGAGTCTGAAAGACTTAAATATGTACCACACTGGCTCTTTTTTAAAAATAAACTGTTACGAAATATTAAAAAATGATGACCACTATTTTAACCACTGGGTTAACTCACCTGAGGAAGGATTAAATAAATCCGAAACGTTGTGGATTGAAAGAAAAACTGGTTGTTGTTTTTTTGAGATGACCTATTATCCCACCTTCGAGAAGGAAAAATCATAAGATTATTTATCCATTTTAATTTTTTATTATTTATTTATATCCACCCCAATCATAGTCTTAGGGATTTTGCAGTAATACTTTACTTGGAAGTTTTGTGCTCTTTTAATGAAATACAAAATTCTTCTCATGGATATGGTTTCATGTCTATATTGCACGAAAATACTAGAATGCTTTCCTATGACCATAGCCTTTTCCTAGCTATTACAGGGTAGTTACATAGGATATGTTTTGTTATCTCTGGCTCCTTTAGATATAGTCGACATTAATTATCTGTTAAAAGTCTCATTTTTTTGTAAAGTGGTAAAGACTACTCTCACTGAAGCTTGTTCTGTATTTTAAATATATCTGTTAGAATTATTAATTCTTTTCTGTTGAGTAGGATTTTCTCTTTCTACCATTGGATTCTTTTTGTGAGTAGTTTATTTGCTTGCTTCATGTACGGTATATGTTTCCAATATGATTTATGCCACAAAATGGTTGTACTGAGGGTCTCTTTTGAGTTAAATAACTGCTGACTAATTGCCTGAAATTAATTAATTATGAATATTTAGGCAGTTTTGGGCTGGTTTTGAGATGAGCTTGTAGGCTTGGAGAGCTCTTAGAGCTGTCCGGCTATCTGATAGAATAATTATTGTTGCACTTTTCAGGTGTTTATTATTTATTTCATATCCATACTAAGGCTAGTAATTTGGCTTGAATGATGTTTGTGGTGAGGCCGAGGGTCGTGTGGGGCTCATAATTAAACCACATTATGCCTATTCTCATTTTTTATTTTTGAGCCACACCATAGAAGATCTGAACAACTTAGTTTTTTACCATGGTATTCAAGCAATTCCAGACTAGTTTCGATCTTATATGCTTGGAGAGCATCCAGAGCTTTCTGGCTATCTTATAGAATTATTATACAAAAGAATATCTCCAGATCTAAATACTTTTCCATTGAATCAATAATTTTCTCAAATACACTGACAAGCAAAAAATTCCAACCACTTGTAATATAACTTGATTTGTATAAATTTGTAAATATTAATCAAAGTTTCGCATTTTTAAACGTTTAATAATTGATTCTTTGGCTAAAGAAGTAAAAAATAAAAATGTAAATTGCTAAGGGCAATGAAAAATAGAAAACGTTTAATTTTGATTTAATTTCTAATTAACATTTCAATATCGCGTATTTCCTCCTCTTGCCTTAATTACTTCTCGAAGACGCCTCGACATACTTTCTACCAGTCTGAAAATGTCTCTTTGCTGGAGGTTAGCCCATTCTTATCGAAGAGATCTTTCAAGATCGTGAAGTGAATCAGGAAGTGATGGACGTGCTCTTATTCGTCTTTTGAGGTTATCAAAGAAATGTTCGATGGGGTTCAAGTCTGGAGAACGAGGTGGCCAGCCTAAGAACCTGATGTTATGCTGTTGATGGTACGTTTGTGCTATGCGAGCGACACGTGTACGGCCATTATCGTGCATTAGAATAGGATTGTCGCTGATTTCATCGAGGTACGCAACGCATTACGGTCCAAAATTATATCCACATATCCGGATAGGATAATTACGGCTGGCCGTCAAAGACCCTCCACGAACAACAACCAACTCTATGCGACTCTCCATTGAAAATCCTGCCCACACCATCACTGAGCTACGTTGAAAAGGTTGACTCTGGGAAAAACTACAAGCTTCGTACCTTTTATTTCGCCTTCTCCACACTCTTTCACGCCCATCAGGAGATGGTAGAGCAAATCTACACTAATCTATAAAAAGTACAGCAGGCCAATCGTCCAAAGTCTGTGTTCTCGAGAAAATGCGAACCGTGCAACTCTGTGAGGTCTGGTCAATTCTGGTCCTCTTACGGGGCGAAAAGCCATTAGTCCATATTGATTTAATCTTCTTTGAGCAGTGCGTTCAGATTTTTGTACACCTGGAGCTGATGAATCGTTTGAACAACAGTATGGTGACGGTTTCGCAAAATTCTCAAATTCAAAAAACGGTCATCCTGTGGTTCTGTTACCCTGGTTCAGTTTCTCGAAAACGTCTAACGGCGTCTCGCAGAGTTTCGTAGGGAACTCCGATGTCAATAGTCGCATACCTGATGATACGTCCATCATCAATAAGTGCCACATCACACGCAACTTCCTCAACACTAAGTGGCATTTTTAAGTTTAAAGCTTGAAATTAAGAAAACAAAGATGAAACTAAACAGTTTATTGCTTCAGAGAAATGTCAAATGAGACTGAATAAATATTTTAGTTTTTCGTAAAATGTAAACGTTGAATTTTTTCAATTTTTTTTTATCCTTGTTTTGTATTAAGGTTTAAGTATGTTTACCTCCAATTGACATTCCCAATTTAAAACATAGAATAAACAAATATTTATTGGTAAAAACAATGAGAAAAATTTTTTAAAAATCTATTGAGTGGAATTTTTGCCTGTCAGTGTAGTATGCTAATGGTTTTCTTGATAGTGTAGAGCAAAAAATATTAAATATGAGAGTATAAACATTTCGTACAGCTAATGTGTCAGGTAAACATCTGGTTCTTTTATAAATTATTCTTTTAGTGGATTTTCTTAATTTTTTATTTAGTTATATTTTTTACTTAAATTAATAGTATCGCCAGGTTATAAATACAAAATGACACAGGACGATAAGGACGATGACATTCTTTTCCATCAGAGACCACAAGTACGGGACAGAACGCCGCCATTATTGTTCAATAAGACAGTTTTCGAAGAAAGCGATCTTGACAAAATAGTGAGCGAGCTCCAAGAGACAGAGTCTTTCACGAAGTTGTACATTGAAAAACTGGGCAAATGCGACATCCCTTTCTGCCTTTATCCCAACGCCCAATGCGTACGGCCGAGCAGTGGTGTCATTTTTAAACCAAAACTGACGGAACATATTGCCGCGTATTTAATGACTGCCTGCGAGACGCATGCTTTCGAAATGTTAGGTAAATGAGCTCGTTAATGTACTTTTAAGTGAAAATCTACACAAGAAGCAAAACTGTTAAAGAGGTTTTTAAATTTTTCTCCAAACACTTGTTGATGATTGAAATATTTTATATAAAAAAGTGCTAGTTTTGTACATATCCTTTCATTTCTAAGGTATTTTCTGTATGTACCAAAAAATAATAATTTGATCAATATCAATTGATCCAAAATGTTTTACGGTTTTTTGATAGCTGTTTTAAGAAGAAGCTCATAAGTCTGTCTTCCCTACAAATATTATTTGTTAATAAGTATGTTATGATGTATAAATAATTGACAGATAAAATCATTGAGGGTACGAAGGAACAGAAATTTCCATGTCGTTTGTTCTTATATGACCTCGTGAAGCTTGCCGTACGCCTGAAATTAAAGCCAAATCAGCTTATGTACCTAATGGAGATTTTTATGGACGGTATGAAAATGTTCTTTACCTGTCGAAACACGACACAACACGAAATGGAACAGTATTACGAAGAAAGGATAATCAATCATTCAGTGAATGTAAGTATAAAAGCACCCCTATTTAACGACGTTAAATTTGTTTGGACGTTTTAATTCCAGATAGCTGGAAAGGGTACAAAGTACTTCTCGACCGGCCAAGTGGAAGAAATCACAAAGCTTTTTGGCAGGTTTATAAGGTTGATGCCCCTCATTCATATTTACTTTTACAAACCGATAGTTCTCAAATGGACATTGCCGTTGTACCAGCCTTCCGACAACAAGGACTGCATAAGCGACACCCACTTGCGATTTATTCCAAGCCCGGAAAACAACGAAAACATGTTAATGGACAACATGCCCAAGCTGTTTCCATTTCAGCAAAAGTTATCAAATTGTCAAGAATATCTCGAGGAGTAGTGTAAAAATGAATATAAATTATAAACCTTTAGCAAGTAAATTTTACCTTGTCAATCTTATTCTTTTAAGCAATAAATTTATTATAAATTCAATTAGCAATGGTGTTTTCTTTGGCCATCTAATGTATTAAAAATAATGTATTTCTTTTAACAAACCCCAGTTTGTTTAATTTTGTTAAAATAAATTAACACATTTCCTATTTCCTGAGAATAAATATTGCATACAAATATTGAAAATAACACAAAAATATTAAAGAATTATTAAAGAATAACGAAATATTAAAGAATTAAAGTTGGATGTTCATAATCTAAAAAGATTTTTAATTAAAATTTGCATTTTATTGCCAAATAAGTTCACCAAGTAGTCTTTCCTTTCTCTCTCTCCCTATCTCCTCTCACTCTCTCTCTCTCCTCACTCTCTCTCTCTCTCTCCTCTCTCTCTCTCTCTCCTCTCTCTCTCTCTCTCTCTCCTCTCTCTCTCTCTCTCCTCTCTCTCTCTCTCTCTCTCTCTATATATATATATATATATATATATATATATATATAGCTATCTATGTTTCTATCATATAGCTTTCTATCTATGTATCTACCTTTTTCTTGCTCTCCCTCTCCTCTCCAATTTTTTTTCATTTTACCAATTCGCCATCACACACATACATTAAGAGAAAAAGAGAAAGAGAAAGCAAGAGAGAGAAATGAGAGAAAGAGAGTGGGAAAAGAAAAAGATAGATAAATGGCTAGATAGATAGGTAGATAGATAGAGATAAAAATAGAGATAGATAGATGATATATAGATAGATAGAGATAGAGATAGATAGATAGATAGAGGGATGGAGAGAGAGGAGAGAGACAGACAGAGGGAGATAGAGATAGATAGAGATAGATAGAGAGAGAGAGAGAAGAGAGAGGTGTGAGAGAGAGAGAGACAGACAGAGAGACAGACACAGAGAGAGGGAGATAGATAGATAGATAGATAGATAGATAGATAGATAGATGGAGAGAGAGAGAGAGAGAGAGAGAGAGAGACAGACAGACAGACAGAGAAAGAGAGCTCCAAGCTCCAAGGAGATTGTTTTTAAAATCGAAAGTTCTATTAATTTCTAAATGCTTGGCACACTTGGGGCATTAATTGGTTGTATAATCTTACTTTTAGGCCAGTTCTCCCGACAAGAGAAACTTACAAAATAAGGTAGCGCTTAGCTTTTTAGAATAGTATTGCACAAAACACCCTAGACCTCTAGGACACCTTTTTCACGGCGTGATTTTCCATGCGACCTCGTCAAAAAAGGACAGTAAGTTTTTTGGAATCTGCAGGTCGGCGGGGATGGTAGATAGGAAGGTGGTCGGGGGGGAGGTGTCGGACGAGGGAGCCTGGCCGTGTATTTATAGGTAGTCGGTGGTAGGTTTAGTGTGGTGCGCGCGGGTGAGATGTCGAGGTGGTTCCCCTGGATATGGCTCCTCCTCGTGGCAAATTTGGCCGCCGCGAAGAAGACTCCCGATGCTGCTGCTAAACATGCCGAACCTGTAATCGAGGAAGTCACAGCGAAGCAGCTCGAGAGGATCCTCCAAGACAAGGACTTTGTCGCTGTCTTCTGGTGTAAGTATTATTTTTTTTAATTTATAACATCTCTGTGTAAAACTAGTACATGAAAACCTAAGTTATACCATGGAGGGTATTTTAGAAAAAAAATTACAATGGGCTGTTTAATTTGGACAATTTGAATTTGGTCACTGACATTTAAGCCAATCGAATTTCGGGTTAGATTAGGTTTCTACTATTTTTAAATCGTATTCCTAACCTACTCCCGCGAATATTTTATTTCAGACTTTTTTATACGGTGATAATACATTCTCCACCCTTTCATCCCTTTTAAATTCGTTCAGGGTTTGTTTCCTTTTGAAAACGGAAACGTAATGAGATTTGACATCCGGATCATTAGTCGTGAGTGAAATCGGAGACCCACTGGCCAGAGAATAAGTTCCGCACGGTGGTTTAAAAATAAATAGCTCACATTTCTATATATTTCGAACGTGGGCAGTTTTATTGTGCTCGTCACACTATGGCCTCCGATGGAGTGTCATCTACAATTTATAGTTAGCGCTGTTAAAATTTAGGAAATAGTTCTAGAACCAATCTCGACCAACCAGGGAGTTTATATACACAAATTTGACCCAGATTTTAAACCCATTGTGTAAATTTATAGACAAAAAGAAAAAGAAAAAAAAAAGATAATCGATTTTTACACTTTTTTGAATTCTTTGCTTCCTAACAAGGTACCAAAAAACAACAACAAAAATCAACTTTCCTTTCCTTTGTTCAACTTCAGCCAACCAACAGCTCAAGCTTTGAAAAAATACCAATCCTATAAAACCAAAGTAATACTAAAATATTAACGTATTTATAAAAATCGAACAATAAAAAACCCAAAGTGGACGGAATATGGGTTGCTTCATTATAATTATAAATAGTATAACTTGACACTCATGCCAGGATCAGACCCTCGTAGGCAATGGGAAAATTTCTGTTCTGGGCGACTGTTCCCCTACTTTTTGTCAGGTTTCCAAAAGCAATTTCAAGGCGTCAAATAGCTGGTTCGGACTCGGCGGTGAAAATTTGCGATAGAAAGAGGATCACAGAAAAAATAAAAATTATTATTATAAAACTTCATATGAAATTTTCAAAAATTTAATTAATAAACTTTGACGTCTCAATTAATTTGTTTTATTACTGCGATTAATTTTTATATACTCTGGCGCACTTTTTATTCACACACATTACAAATCTTCATTTTTAGATATTATCACCCCTTGTTAAATTCAAGTTTCCTCCCAGTTCTCATAAAATTCGAGAAATTTATTAGGAAAATTAATTTTCCAGGGTTGTGAGAAGGCATTTCTCAACCGTACTAAAAGATTCTGGTTTTTATTTTTTTCTGGATTTTGTTGCGATTTCGTTCTCGTTTTTTTTCTCTCTCTCTATCTCTCTATCTATCTATCTATCTATCTGTCTATCCATCTATCTATGTATCTATTTATCGTTCTCTTCACTTTCTTTCTGTTCTCTTAAATCTTTCTGTATCTTCTCTCTTATTCTTTCTATCTTTTCTTAATTATCTCCTTCTCTTTCTTCCTTGATATTATTACTTCTAATTTCGTTTATCCATCTACCAATTTATTTATTTATCTATCTCTCTTTATTCTCTCCATCTTACCACCTACCTTCATTTTTTTATTCTTTCTATACTACCTACATCAATCTATGCATTTATGCATCACTCTCTCTCTCTCCCTCTCTTCTTTCTCTTTCTCGCTCTATCTTTCTATTTTTATCCCTTTTTCTCATTTTATTTCTCACTGATGAATTTTTAATATTCCTGCTCTGCTAATACCCACATTCGTTACAACTTTGCCCAATTATCAGTGATTCACTCATTTAAACGTTTCAGATTTTCTGGTTTTATTAGTATTTCTGTAAATACAGGCTTTTGCTGACCAATCTACGATTAAATTACTCCTATTGTAGGAATTTCGGATTTAAAATTTGGTTTTTTTATCTGTACCATGAAGTCTCTGATTTTTTCCACACCTAATACATTGATTTTGGAAAATAAAACTTTCTGATATATAATATGGACAAGTCCGGAAAGCTTTTATTTAAAACATGCTTAAATTGCAACGCTAAAATACCATCAAGTCTGGTCTGAGACAGTGTCTGCCTTTTCGATTCAATTGTTCATAAATCAAAAGCTGAATAGTTTTGCAACCCTTCATACTCCACTTTAAGCCTTAAACTAATAAAAAAAAAAGTACTCAGGATGATTGTTGAACGTTATACAGACCGGCCGTGGAGAACGATAAGAAATTATCGGTCCCGCGTAGGATCAAAACGCTAGGCCTTTAGGCATGTTGGTCAGTCTCGCTAGTAATAGCAGTCTATTTCGGCGAGAGGCCATGTTATGTAGATCTGCCAGGTGGGCTATGAACAATAGCAAACAATCGGAAACGTTCATTAACAAACTAACGATTTCACGCTTTTGTCAAACATTAAAGAGAATATCGTATTTCACAACATACGTTTAGATAGATGAAAAAGAAAATCGGTCAGCAATTCTACAAACGCTTGTCCTAAAATAAAAACAAAATTTTAACCAAAATTCTCTCTCTCTTCCTCTTTTTCTCTCACTATCTCTCTCTCTTTCTCTCTCTCTCCCTCTCTCTCTCTCTATCTCCCTCTTCCTCTCTCTCACCCTCTCACTCTATCTCTCTCTTCCTCTCTCTCACCCTCTCTCTCTCTCTCTCTCTCTCTCTCTCTCTCTCTCTCTCGCTCTCGCTCTCGTTCTCTCTCTTTCTTTCTCTATCTCTATCTATTTCTCTCTCAGGCTCTCTCTCTCTCTCTATATATATATATATATAACTATCTATCTATCTATTTATCTATCTCTATCTATCTATCAATCTATCTCTATCTCCGTATCTATTTTTTCTCTCCTTTTCTCTCTCTTCTCTCTCTCTCTCTCTTTCTCTATCTATCTACTATCTATCTATCTATCTATCTATCTATCTATCTATCTATCTATCTTTCTATCTATCTATCTCTATTTTTATCTCTATCTATCTATCTTTCTATCTATCTCTATCTATCTTTCTATCTATCTCTGTTTTTACCTCTATCTTTCTTTCTATCTAGCTATTTATCCATCTTTTTCTTCCCCCACTCTCTTTCTCTCTTTTCTCTCTCTTGCTCTCTCTTTCTCTTTTTCTCTATATGTATGTGTGTGATGGCGAATTGGTAAAGTGAGAAAAAATATTGGAGATTGAGAAAGAATGTGCGTGTTTGTAGGTGTGTGTGTGTGAGTGAGAGAGAGGGAGAGAGAGAATGAGAGAGAGAGGGAGAGAGAGAGTAAACAGATTAACAAACCTTCCTAAAAATGTAATTTTATTTTGTCTTTCCCTATAAAAAACGTGTTACCATTATTTCTACAATTTTTGTGAGCGCAATGTGTGTCCCCGATTCCTTTTTTTTCTCGGAACGTTAACTGTAATGTTGTACGACAAATAAAATAACAATAAAAACATAAAAACACCGCTGACCATTGCGAAACTCGAGATAATCGCGATGCAGCAACGAATTCTTGAAATTTTGTGCAATTGATCTTGACTCACGCATATCAGTTTCTTATCAAGCTTAAAACAGAACATTTTTATTTAGTTGCTTACTTTCCTCCAATGAACATTTGTTGGAACTTTAAACGTTGGTTTATATTTTTATTATATTTCGATTGCGTGTTTATCACATTTATAACAGGTAATTTGTATCACATTTAGAGAATTTTTTGTGCCTTTTTTACTTGTAAAAAGATGGTAAATAAGCATAAAGTGAAGAAAGTTGATTTTGATTGCTTTTCAGGACTGCGAAATAAGATATTGTCCGTAATGTTGGCGTTTATTCTTTTAAAATACCCAAGACTTTTTAAGTTTTTAATTTTTAATGAATTAGAACCTTTCTGTGGGGTCGCTTGTTTTTAAATATTTTTGACTAAGTAACATATCATTAAACAGTAAGATGAAAATAAACGTTTAAAAGATGTTGGCAAATGTATTATGTTGCTCGTGACATGCAAAGAAAACATTATATTTTATTTATCGTAATTTAAAACGTCTTTGTCATTAAAAAATTAAAAAGATCAAAAGTGTAGATCTGTTCCTAACCTGATGGTAATTAATTTTCTATGATTAGCCAAATCGCTGTTTTTTTTCTAAGCGATTCAATGAATAAAGTTCCAATTTTTATGATTTTTTGAAAATGATCTTGTTAGAAATGTGTGTTGATTAGTGACCGTTAGTCGATGATTATTCGGAAATCGTGAGATGCGGTCCGGTGTGATGTAGGTTTCAGAAAAACATTTTCTTTATCGTGCCAACGTTTCGATCTTTATTGAGATCATCTTCAGGGCCTGAGATTTACAAACATTGTTTAAATTTAACAAATACATATCGGATGTGGAAAAAAGTGAATTTATACTGATCTGTTTTAAATTCACTTTTTTCCACACCCTACATGTATTTGTTAAATTTAAACAATGTTTGTAAATCCCAGGCTCTGAAGATGGTCTCAATAAAGATCGAAACGTTGGCACGATAAAGAAAATGTTTTTCTGAAACCTACGTCATACCAGACCGCATCTTCGCATAATGATCTTGTTAGAGTTTAACTACTAAGTCAAGTAAAAAAACGAATAATTAGCCCTCCCAATCACACAGGACTTTTTGGGGAAAAAGGTTATCCAAACATATTCGTAAACAGTGTTTTTGACTTTAGGGAAAAAGCATTATCAGCAAATTTATACTCGTATATTGCTTAAATTCTTTACAACAAAAAAAGTGTTGACCTGGTTTATAGGGTTCAAGAACCCCACAGTTAGAATTTATCGTCCCTTCATCTTCTCTTTCAGGATATTTTCAATTTATTTTTTTCTTAAAATATAGTTTCCTAGCTTAATCCCATGTTCTTTTCATAAGGAGGTCAAAAAGTTCACTCGAAAAGAAATTCAAACTCCCAAAAGAATCGGAGGCCGTATCGCACAATTATAATTAAAA